AAATCATATTAAATTTCGTCAATATAAATTATTAAAATTATAATGACTATGATTTATTACTACTTAATTTATATAGCAAGGAAAATCTTATCAAATAATGAAACTTTCATGTTAAAGATATTATCTTCTTCATATTTATCTAATGAAAAAATAAAAATTAATCATGTAACTAAATAGTTTTTATAATTTTTAATTCTTCTACATTTTTCATTAATTAAATTAATAAATTATTCCTATGGTTAATTTTTATTTATTAGAATAAATTGTAGGTAATTTTGATAACTTACATATTGTAATATGATAATAATATTATTATAAAATTTAATCTGTATTTATTTATTTTTATATTTCAATTTTAAAATAAGCTTATGTTACCTACAATTTGTATTAATATTCAATTTATAATTTCTTATACAAACAATGAGAACAATAGAAACCCGTTTCCTGACTTACTGAACACCCTGTATATTTTCATATATTTTTTTAAACCGTTCGTCATTATAAGAAACCCAAATTAACAAAAACTTGATTGTTTAATGGTCATATTGCAGCTTAGAGTAATGAAATCGCGTACATTTGACTATACAAGCAAAATAGAATTTTTTCAACCTTTGGCCTTTTATAAATTGTAATAAATACATATAAACAACCTTTCATAAAACTATTGCGGTCATTTCTCAGGTAAAACGTTAATCAACTTATTAACACTTGTATTATCGCCATGTTTGTTTAAGATTTATCATCAAAATAACATTTAAATAAATAAGGTGATGTTTATAGCAATACTATCCTAAAATATTAAAAATGAATTTATCATTTATTTAAAAAAAAAACAATAAATAATACATAAAATATGCAAAATTTAGTATCTAACTAAAAAAATGTGAAACATTAATATGTTGGCTCTAAATTTTACATGAGACATCATGTAGTCTATATATTTCTTTAAGTATAACATACATACATACATACAGATCAAGATTGAGAAGATTTAAGACCCTTAATAACAGTTTTTGACTACAATGTATTCTAATTAATACTTTCTAAATTATAAAAAATATTAAATTTTATTACAGATGATCTATTTTAATTGTCAATTTTTTTTTTTTCAAATTTTACACGATGATTTAAAATAAAATATAACAAAAAAGTTGAGTCTTTTATAATACACATAATAAAATATTAAAAAATAGCAAATCAACTGAATAACTGTGATTAATTAAAATAATAGCAAGTATTTTTAATTAAGTACAAAAATATCAAAGATGAAGTTAAGCATGAAAAAGGGTCAAAGCTCACCAAACTTCTTTTGTTAATGTAATAAACCAATTATAAAGAATTTAAATTAATTACAAAAAATGAGCTTAGAAACTTTTAAAATAGGAATGGATTCACACATAATACATAATTATATGAGAAATAAAAACTATATAATATTTAACCTGTTACAATACAATAAAGCTAATCATTAAACAAAAAAATTGATTTCACTTCAAGTTATGAACAACTCAAAAACAAAATATATAACTCCAATTTGAACTATTAGAAAAACAGATGTATTAAATAACGGTAAATATTATGACTTCAACCCTTTTCAACAGATTTCAATATAGTTTAATCCAAACGATAAAGTTTGGATAAATGAAAATATTACATTCAAGAAAATATAAATTATAGTTTTTAATAGCAATTAGTTATAAAGCACTTAAATGTTTTATGAAACGTTGTAATAAATATCATATGCTGTCAGTGCTCAATTTTTATGATAACACAGATGTAATTATTTAAAAAATTATTTAATTAATACTTATATAAAGTATGCGAGCCGCCTCGCTTATTTTAAGTACAAATTATATAATATAAAGAGTAACTGTTTATGAACAGTTAATAACGACGAGCTGTAATTAATTAAAAAGAAAATGATGACAAATTTTTTTCGTTTTTCATAATGAATCTTAACAAGCCGACTGTAAAATTGATAAGTAATTTATTGTTTAAAATAAATTCATCAACCACCGGGAAAATGTTAACGCATAACATGTGCATATTGCAATACTAACTACAGACATCTGCTGGAATAGAAACGCATGAACTGAACGATAAACACGTGTTTTTCGTATGTTGCGCGCGCAGCTCGCGAGTGTGTGTGTACCTCGACCCCGGATGGCAACGTACACAGTCGTCGTTCTAAACTGATAATATTGTTATATTAAACAAGGCCAACAGTCTAAGTAATGTCGGAATGAATTAAAAGACAGAAGAAGTGCTTCATCTACAGAATGTCAAGCTTCCTCGGGTGTCGTTCTACAGTGTATTTTACGCGTTTGAGAATTGAAATCAATATCGACAAAGTTTGTTGTTCAAGGTATATTAACCTTTCGAACAATAAGTGCAAAATGAATACACATGTCACATAAAATCGATCGTCGTTTACCCCTTAAAAAAATAAGTGTTTTCATACTTGAATCGGCCTTACTTTGTACCGAAAAACATACTAATACGCTGTTGATTAGAATTGACACGGACATAGAGGATGGACATACAAAATAATAATATCAACAAAATATTCGAATTGTTTCGATACATTTATTCTTTCATAAAATATATTAGCATTTATTTGATTAATACTACATCGAGTTTACAATGAATCAGTTTGACCGAGTTATACAACTACTGGATGGAGGAAAAAAACAAACAAGAAAGATTAAAAATTATGTATATTGCAACACGTAATTGTTTACTTTAATACTAAATAACCTTTCATTTTTTAATTGGTGCTTTTATCAAATTCCGATGATTAATTATTTTAATAAAAAGTCAAAAGTACTTTTGAAATCCGATAACCTTAAATAATTTTTTTACTTATACGTAATAAAACTGTTAATTATTTCAATTTTGATGAGTGAGAATAGATAGAAATACCATGTGTATACACGTTTTTAGGCGAGAAATAGATAGCTAATTATTGTATGTACATTAACTATGTAAAAGAGGAAATATGTTTTTTTTTTAACTAATTTTTCTACTTGAATGTAATAACAAATTTTTCACCAAAAACTATGCAAATATCATAAAAATATAATATGTTCGAAATAAAGAAAAATACATTTAACCACAACTCATTATGGATACTTCTATAATTTAAAAAATGTTATCAAAAATAGGTAACAAGAATTTGTTTAATTGACTCATATAATCATAATTTACAGTTGTATTCATTAAGATTCTAAAAATCTTAAATCTAACGTTTATAATGTGATGAATCGGTTGTAACGAAGGTGTAAGAGTGAGACATATCAGATTCGTCCAAAGAGTGAATACAGTAAAATCCATACTCAAACTTCTCTTTTAAATTTAAAATTAATTAAGTGTGATGCAACAGTATAACCATCCCAAATACTCTACAAGTAGTTTTGGCGCTTTGTTTATAAACAAACTTAATGATATTTGTTTAGCAATTACGATACACCCGAATAATTTTTCATATTAAAAATCTGAACTAACATTCTTTTTTCGAAATACTTTTGGAACATATTTGACTATTAGAAAATATTTACCCCGACACATGCAAATTATAAAAGTAAAATGCTATCGCAGCACTCGAACTTTCAGTATTTTTTTTAAATTTAAAAGTCCAATGACTAACTATTTCTTAAAAATTTATACAATTCATTCAAAATAAATATGTTCGATCAGGAATTTTTTTTTTTTTTAAGGATGTAAGATTTTAATGGATGTAGCAAAAATGTATTATTAAGTAAATTATTATTCAATTAAGAATAATCCAAAGTATTTTAATAAATATTGGTTTTACATGCATGGAAAATTACATTATTACATTTATGAAAAAAAAAATTTAAGAGCTGCCGGAATAATGAATATAATGAAATTCATTATTCCGGCAGCTCATAACAATTCACCAGTTTTTACAATTTGTACGGTTTTTTCAACTTGGATAAATATATAGTTTTATAAAATATACGAATATAAGTGATCAATAAATACACAACAACGTCAGTTTATCAAACGAGAAAAACGAAAGGAAACTTGAAATTAAAGCAATATGGAAAATATATTGTGTGTTGTTAAAAAATACATAAGTACTAATTTTACTTTATAATAGAAAGTTTTTGTAATAATAGACTAGAAAATATTAGAACACTGGAATTTTGCCAATATTGTTTTAGACCATTGGACAATTCTATCAATAATTATTATTACATATTACTGACATAAGCATTACTGCCCAAGTTCTATTTTCAAAGTTGCTGTTTCATAATATTTTTTAGTTATTATTTATTAAACCATGCCATATGAATTGAATAAAAATATTTTATCAATTTTTAATAAAGAAAATTCAGAAGCTGAAACAATAATAATTCTTAAAGATACATTATGTTAAACTTTGTCGATTCGACAAATATCATATTATTGCTTAAAGGCCAATATCCATCCACCCACACATTTGTCCTTCCATCTAAATAATGGGTTCAGGCAACCCCTGACACGCCACAGTTTGCGTCATTGATGTAAAAAATAATTTTAGAACGCATATAATTTTCTTTTCCACCGAACCATACTGACTCAATTAATTCTGTCTAGTTTACAATTATATGTAAACAAACAAATAAAAAAGAAGTCGTTTATTGCATTGTATTATTTCGAAACGTATACAACGCGCTGACCACGGCACGTGACAGAATGGGAAAGTCTAACAAGACACAACAGTGGAAACATCAAAAATTATTTAATTTAAAAAAAATGAGGGTTGATGAGCTGCCGTTTTTGTCATAGAAAACAGTGGCCGCTACCATCGGGGGGTTTCGGATTTCAGAGCGCACTATGTGGCAACCTCGCTAGACTAAGCCCAACCGTATGCGATTGCCGACTGTGGTAACCTAGGTAACGGGATCGGCGAACACGCCGTCACAGTAACACTCGCGCATTCATATAGACCGGATTACGACAGTAAACATTTGTTATTGTTTTTGTTTCCTTACCTCAGATACGTATCTAGCCCGAGCCCAGTGGCCTCGGTTCGTATAGTTTTCCTTGGTGACGAAATAATCCATAAAGTTGTTCATTTTTGGCGAGCACCCGCCGAAGGCTCGACGAGAGCTTCTAGATGCTCAGTTTTATTTTTGGATCCTCTTACAAGTGCAATCCAACCGAGATCGTCGTAAAGAGCATGGCTCGACGCGCACTAAAACGCGACGGTAAGGCACACTCGGTTAATAAACACCGGGTAGAACTTCGTCACAAACATGTTAATAAAAAAAATTCAAAATTTAATTTTCGCAATCACTTGATCTGATTTGGAAAAATATCGTTAATTAGTTGAAATTATATATTTATCACGACTATTAAACTACTTGGTAGTTCTTTTTTTTATGAACAAAAATTTGGTAAACAAGTAAAACAAAAAAAAACTAAGTATAATTTAAACTCGATTGGTAATTTTATTAAAAATATAAAGCCACTGCCGGCACATGTATAAATATTTTATAATTTCGTGTTAATCTGTAAAATATATTAGTTAAATTAATATGAACCCGACTTGTGCAAACGAACGTCCGACACTCGTCGAGTGACCGGTGTCCGCTGCGGCCACCGCCGTCGCGTGTTATCTCGGAAGTGGTGTCGGTGAGCGCCGCTGACGACGGCGACGGCAGTTCCCTCGTTTGGGGCTTGGTGGTGGCCGTGGTGGTGCGGTGTCCGAATTGTATTATTATCCTGTGTGTACAATATATACTTATTTATCCGCGTCCCGGTAGTGCGTGTGCGCGCACAGTCGAATACGTTACGCTTAAGGTGTCTTTGTGTGTGTATGTGTTTTACGAGTAGTATCTAGTGCGTGTACTTGTGCGTGCGTATTATCCGCATCGCGCGCTCTCTAACTGGCTCTCTCTGCCGGCGGGGTCAAACTCCCGAAAGAAGCACTCTACCGCACCCAAACCGTCATCGCTGTGCCTCCCAATTTCCCATCATTCAAAACTTTTGTTTTGGCAAATATCGAATATTTTACTGGTTTTTGAGAATTATTCAACATTGAGCGTAAAATTAACTATTTGAAATTAACATTTTCACCATTGTTACTTGCCTATCTATCGGCAGCTTGTTTATTTTTGATAGTTTATCAAGAAAATCACCTCTGTTGTCAAACATTGCGATTGGTAGTCTTTCTAAATGCGTCTTTCATAGTAACTACTGTACATTTCGGGTCTGACTACTATTTTGGATTCAATTTTAAGAATACAAAATAATATATTATTATATAGTGCATCATTTTATAAAAAAAAAGGAGATTCCTAAAATATAAAACCCAACCAGTAGCGTTACTAAGGGGTTAGTCCGTATCCAGACACCCCCAGTACATAAAACCTTAGTAATGGAGATAGTGGAGAGATGAATATCCTTACTACACTATGTTTTAAAAGCTATCTAGACTCCCCCATACAAAATGTCTAATTACGCTACTTACCCAACTTAAAATTTATCTATTTAAAAGATATAAAAAAAATTAGCTAATAGTAACTAGTAATAAACAAGAAGTCACCGTAAAAAATAATTACATATATCATGATTTAAATATTATAATTGACTATAATGGTTTAATCATTAATCTACAAGCAAAAATAAAGAAATTTACGTTAATTTTTAATAATGATATTTAAAGATTTAAAGACCAAAAAAAACAATTAATTATGGAATTTTATTTTTGTTGATCATGATCTGAACTATTGCATGANTAATGTGGAATGTGTTTCTAAGATTTTGTAATAATTATGTATTTGTGTATACTTATGCAAATTATGTTTACTCAAGTTCAATAAGAAGGTTGTAAGACCTCTTCACGTTGGACACTTGTACTTTGATGTACTGTTATATGTGTAATCATCATCATAAATTTGCTTAATAGTAAAAAAGTATTTTGTTTCATAATTAAACATAAAACATGATCGTTTAGTAAAACAATTAATTATGGAATTTTATTTTTGTTGATCATGATCTGAACTATTGCATGATTCATACTGATAATATTATAAAATATGTAATATTATAAATTCATCTGACTGATAAGATTAAAATATTTTCATGTTAAAAATCATCACTCTATTAAAATTTTATCAGTTTTTGAATATTGTTATTGTTAATTAAAAATTATAAAAATAGTTGAAGATTTGAATGGATGATAAGAAAATATACTAATACAAATGTTTAAAAAATATAAAATTCAATTTGCTTTATTTTAAAAGTAGATTATATTAAATTAAATACATTGAATTTTTGGCAAAATAGTGTATAATAAAAAATGATTGAAAAATTATGTTTTATATGTTTTGACCCAGATTAAAACTGATAAGGTCCTATGCCTATAAGGATACATGCCATACAATTTTGAAAAAGACTATTTTCATTCAATATTATATGAAGCTGGGTAATTTCTTTTAAAAATTAAAAATATTAGGGAGAATGAAAATATTTTATGCTTCACAAAAAGAAAATTTTAGTTGTGTCATGTCTACCCTTCTCTTAATTCAAATTTATTTGTCAACTACGGTTTATTTTTACAAGCTATCGTTAAATTAATTTTTTACGATAAGTATTTGGAAATATTATACTTATTCCAATTATAAATTAGCTTCGATACTTAATTAAAAAAAAAAAATTGTTACAAAATTATTTAGTTTAACCACACTAAAAATATTATTATTAAAAATTAGTTATAGTGGTGAAATAGAACACACTGTTAACTAAAGCGATAAAATGTCATAAATGTGTGTTTGAAAATTTAGACATGAACTATTTTATGAAATTCTCATATTGCCTATTTCATGGGATTCTAAAATACCATAGTTATTCTTAACTTAGGCTGAATTAATAAATAATTTTATTTGTTAGAATTTATTCTAGCAGATGGCGCACTACTTATAATACAACTAATTCAAATTGGAAACATCAAAAGCTAATAAAAACCATTTTATTAAGAAAAATGTTTTTTTAAAGGTTACAAAAAAGTAGCTCACAATTCAGTTAATATAAGTTGAATTTACCAATCTTAGAAAATCTAGTTACTTAACAATTTGTAAACTTATATGATTGATTTTCAATCATAAAAATGAGTTAACTTGAGATACAAAGTTTAAAACTTTTTTGGTGTAACTAAAATAATATCCAACATTTATTAGTCGTGTGCGCAACCCCTGTGCAATCTGCCGTGACCCCGACCTCATTTAATTTGGTTGCGCCTCGATCAGTCTTTTTTTCTAGGGCAAAATTAAAAATTATTTTTAGTTTTATAGAGTACCTTATGTTATATACCTCTTTTATATTAATAATATATATTTTCGTTAATTTTGGTTTTTTTTTGTATTTAATAAACATGTTTAAATCTAATACTAAATATTTTTATTAATATTTGATTATACAGAATGTTCAGTAAGTCAGAAACCCGTTTCCTGACTTACTGAACACCCTGTATATTCAAATCACGTAGAATCCAAATAAATAGTATTTATAAATAATAGTAAATACATGTAATATATTTAGTTAACACATAAAAAAAACGTTGATTATCTAAAATGAATACAAAGTGAGGTAATCTTGTGCGGATATTCCTTACATCTTTACTGGTAGCAATTACTTAATTTTATTAAAATTCATACATAAGGGTAATTAAATTTAACCTTGAATGAACATTATTAAAAATACATATTTTTAAATCGTAAATTAAAAACACACGTGGAAATGAAAAATCTTAAATATCATTTAAGAAGTCGCTAACGAAGTTCAAAATTGGTCAAATAGAGCTATCATCCAAATATGCTACTGAATAAATACATAAAATTATAAACTTCTTTTTCCTAAGCAATATAAATTTAAATAATATAATAGTTATAGCGTGATTTGCCAAACCATCTTAAAACAACTGAGTTCCCTATCTTGCACAACAAGTAAGAATTTGTTTAAGTTTTATGTACTTTAAACATATTTACTTACTACTAATTCAAAGATGGGCCTCTTCTTCTTTTTAGGTGCCATAAAGTTTTTTTTGACCACCCCGTTTGGATGATTTTACACGGAGCTCTGGTGTTGATGATGCCTTGAGATGATCATGTTTAATCTAATAACCATGCAATATTTTTTATTCCGTTTGTCATTATGACAATTTTGATATTTGAACTAAAAATGAATGTATTCGTTTTATACAAGACTGACTTACACAAAAAATGTTAAGGGTGTCCCGGGTGTTGAGCGGCCATATACGGCGGCCGCTGGGTCCCGTCCGTAACGGTACGCGGCGATGACGGTGCGTCGATGCTAAGGGACTACAGATTGTCTAGGCCGACGAAAACGGCACGCGAGCCACCAAACCTATTAGGCGCCGTCGCATACACACATAACGACGTTTCCGTCGAGTAAAGCTGGCGCACGCGGTACGGCTTGACCTCGTTCTTTTAACAATTAACATTGACCGGGAAATATTCCGCCGTTTCAGTCTGTTTTTTAAGACATTTTGATTAATAATTTAATCCAAGGTAATGGTGTATCAATATTTAACACTAGCAGTCGACCACTTGTCCGAGACTTACGAATTTGTTAATCAATAGTATTGACATTAAGCACAGAAAACCGTTAAATGGATGTTACTTACATATTCGTTAAATAAATTAAATTTTTTAATTTCTTGAAAAAATGTATATATATATATATGAATATAAATTTTTATTTGCATTCAAATACTTATTCTAAATATGTTCTCAATAATTTTTTTTAGTTCTTATTCTGAATACAAAAAAAAAGTATTTTTTTACAAGACTGCATAATTATCTAGTTTATTAAATATAATGATGATTTAATTATTAAAATTACTGGACCATAATAACTTTTGGACCACTATTTCAGAAATTCTTTACATTTTTATACCTTACCTTAGTAGAGGGAGAGGACGACAGGGAAATTATTATTGATAAATATAACAATACTCGCTTCACACTATCAGTGTGTATTTTAAAATATTAAAAACTTCCGACGTACTATTTCAAAAGTTGTTATTTGTTAACTATTTTTTAATTATATCAAAATCTATTAGATAAATTAGTTTATTATGTATGTTATTAAAAAAAAATTTGATATTCTAAAGCATAACGGATGAATATAAAAAAAAACTTTACGATTAATAAAATGAAAGAAACATAGACCTTAAAGAAATTAAAAAAAAATTCTCAATATTATTTATTTAAATAGTATATAATAAATGAATCGCTCTGTATACCTTAAATGTTATTTATTCTATAACACTGAAGACAATCTCATTATAAGACACCTAGGATTAGAGGGAGGCTCTACTAATTGACAGTTATCATAAGTGTGAAATAATTTTTACTATGCGTCAAAAAATTGTTTGTATGATAATTATAAAAATGTTCTAATCACTAAATGACAATTTACTGCATTGAAATTTAATGTGTTTTTTGAAAATAGTGTATAAATAATAATTATAATATTAACTAACAGTATAGTAATTAATGAAAAAATGTTATATTCTTGAAATAGCCATTATAATTGACTACAGGTATAAAAATGATAAAAAAACGCAAAGAGAAGTATAATTCTAATACAATTTGAAGCATTTTAAGTATTAATACACTACTAAAATGTTTGGAAATACTTGAGAACATCATTGATAGAACAGAATTCTCTTGCCCTCTCCTACGGATTGAATTAACCTAGACATTAATACAAAAAATTCCTAAAACATACTTTAAAACTTGTTTTAGTTAGTTTAAATAATATTACATACAGTTATTATAAATATGTATAGATTACGAGTTAAATACTTATAAAACTTGCAAACTTGAAATATAAAACCAATTTTTAAATGCAATTATTAAATAATATATTTATTGATACATTATAAATACCAAAGTTAAAATATAATTATAAAAAAAGAAAGTTTTAATTTTACTGAGACCTATTATAACCTAGCGATTATATACCAAAGCATAATAAATATCAAACATCTATTAGAATTTGTTGACTATATTATTGCACACAATAAAATATTGTTAATTAAAAAATATTCATTTTAATGAGGTACAAATACATTATTGTATACAAGAATTTATGGATAAAGGTATCATTATTTTATTTTAAGGTCTAAAAAAAATGATAGTAATTAGTTGTCCTATTAAACAAAATATGGTGGTTTTCGAACTACAATTCCATATTCATTAAGTGCTGGTGTTAAATCTTCCATAGTTAAAGTGAATTTACGGTCTTTAGGAACTTTTCCTGATTTTGTTGGCATAGTTGCCATTCTAACTCGACAATGTTGTAATGCATCATTGGCTATATCCGCAATGAATTTTTGAGATGCAATTGATATCAGTCTAATACTAAAATTTATTTAACACTTTTTATTAAAAATCTACAAAATCAAATAGGACAACTTACATTCGGGGATCACTTGTTTCAAATCCAGCTTCAGAACATATAGCAGCAGTAATGGCATCTGGTATCTATATTAAGTATACGAGTATTTATTATAAAAATTATGTAAAGTATTAATTCTCTGTATTAGTTTATTTACTGTAGGACTGTAGTCTTGAAGTTGGATAATTACATCAGATATAGAAACAGTTTCTTCTGCTACTGGCATGTTGCTACTTAATAATGAGTAATATAAAAAATAATTAATTTTTTTTATAATTTGATCAATGTAAAGGTATCTAATGAATACCTGAAAAAATAGTTTAATTTATAAATAATTACTAATTCAATAATAAAAGTGAATATTTAAAGATAAGTAAAAGTTGTTTGATAGCATATAAAATATCAGGATCATTTGTTGCAGTGTAGCCATATCATAGATAGATACCTGTGAGCAATATTAGCAATATTATTTGAAATTTTCTGTAATTTGAGGAATGGATCTTTGCAGGAAAAATCTAGTTAGAGAAACAAAATTCTACAGAAAAACTATCGCCATATTCTACTCATATCTACATATTCCATATATAATATGGAAATGTATTTCCTGTTTGAATTGTTTTGAATCAAACACTTTAATTTTAATTGATATGTGGTATAAGCAAAGATATGGTTTATCTTATCTGAAATTATAAAATGATAAGACACTCGTGTTTCTAATGAAAACTGTTTAAATTATTGGATTATTCTTTCGTTTTAATGATAATTTAGGACTAAGTAATTTTATTATATTGTTGAAGAATTATTATCCATTTAGTGTAGCAAAACAATTTTCTTACATTATTGCTTTTGTTATAATGTGTATCATTCATTTTTTTTTATAATTAGAAAAAAGTGTTGGTGTTAAAAATTCAAAGTAGGTATTTTTTCTCTTATGTTCTAAAATATATATATATATACATATTTGCTGTAAGTGTGGTTTAAATAGTTCGTTATTTTTAACTTAGATGGGAAAAGTACATCAACGAAGAATAAAAAAAGAAACTACAGAGAAGTTGGGAGCAAAACTTTTAGAAGCTGCAAATGTGTTGCTTCCAGAAACTTCTGGGTAATCATTTTTTCATTTTTTCATGTTTTCTTTAAATTATATTTTGTTATTACATAAATGTAGGTATATAATTGCTGAAAATGGCGAAAAAACAACTAAAATTACACAAACTCAATTATCAAATTCTGTTGATGTGACTAGTGCTCAAAAACATTTTGATTTATGTCTTGATTTTGGACCATATGAGTAATTATGATAAAATAAATTTATTATAATGAACTATAGAATAAAAGAGAAAAATTTTTCTGTAAAAATAAATAGAAAATTTGTTTAATTAATTAATAAACTTATTGTTTAATTTAATTTTTGTATAATAAAACTGATTAAAAAAAAGTGTAATGTTTTTAGTGTTGCTCATTCAAGATTTTAATTTTTTTAATAAATGTAATTTATTTGAATGTATTAAATTATCTTTTATATTTTAAATATTAAATTAAATATTATATACCATTGTAAAATTATTTATATGATATTTTTATCTAATTCCATTGTAAAATGTAATTTTAGTATTGATTATTCCTTAAATGGTCGTCAATTATTGATTGGAGGAAGAAAAGGCCATGTAGCTGCAATGGATTGGATAACAAAATATTTAATGTGTGAAATAAATGTAATGGAAGAAGTTTATGATGTCAAGTATGTATCATATATGTTTTATTAAGATTAAAGTATAAATATCTTAACAAAAAAATGATTTCAGGTGGTTACACAATGAGAATCTATTTTCTGTTGCCCAAAAAAAATGGGTTTATATTTATGACAATCAAGGTGTAGAAGTGCATTGTTTGAAAAATTTAAATAATGTATTGCATCAGGAATTTCTTCCCTACCATTTTCTTTTAAGCACAGTTGTGAGTAAAACATCTAGAATTTTTGTAAAATAATTTTCATGTGAGCGTTTTTTTTTTTTTAGAGCGAGGAAGGGTTTTTATCATGGGTGGATGTATCAATTGGAAAGATGGTTCAACAATTTAATGCTAAAATGGGTCGACTAAGCTTGATGTCACAAAATCCAAGCAATGCTATGATTTGTATAGGAAATACTAAGGGTAAGTGATTGAAGATTATATTTGTGTATCATTTTGAAATGTAATTAATTTAACTAACTTTTAGGTGTTGTATCATTTTGGAGTCCTAATTTAAAAGAACCCGTTGCAAAAATTCTTTGTCATGGAAATCCTATTACATCATTGGCTGTGAATAATAATGGATTGTAAATTTTAATTTTTGAATTAAAATTAATTTAATTTATTTTTAATATAGTTTGTTTTTTTCTTAGATATATGGCAACAACTGGTTTGGATAGAAGACTAAAAGTTTGGGATATGCGTCAATTTCGTGGACCTTTACAAGAATATAAATTACGTGCAAGTCCTAGAAGTATGGTATTTAGTCAAAAAGGATATTTAGCTCTTGCAATTAATAATGTGGTTGATGTAAGTTTAAAATGATAAAAAAATATTTTAAATTATTAAAAATTTATTATTTTAGATTTATGAAGAATGTTGCACAAAATCTGTTACACATGCATATCTGAGACATAACATTGCTAGAACGATTAAAAATTTAGCATTTTGTCCATTTGAAGATGTTTTAGGAGCTGGTCATGATGGAGGTTTTTCAAGTTTATTAATTCCAGGTATATAATTTCCAAATATTAATTTATTTAAAAAGTTATTGTATTTCATGAATAATTAATGTACAGGTAGTGGAGAACCTAATTTTGATGCTTTAGAACGTAATCCTTTCCAAACAAAAAAACAACGTAAAGAAGCTGAAGTTAAGATGCTACTAGAAAAAGTATTTATTGTGAATCAAATTTTGCATCATAAACTTTAAACATTCAAATTTTTTAGATTCCAGCAGAAATGATTGCTTTAGAGTCTACTGTTGATGAAATTGATGTTAACACACTTAAAAATCGATTAGAACAAAAAAATTCTCAAAATGTGAGTTTAATATTTGATTATAATAGGCTAAAATATTAATTTAATTTATCACTGTATGAAAATTTATAAATATTTTAGTTTGGAAAACCTACTAGAATTAACATAAAAGTTAAAAGTAAGTTAAAAAGAAAAACTCAAGCAAATCCGTCAAAAGTTAAACAAAAAATATATGAAGAAAAAACTAAGGTAAAAAAAATTGTGAAGTATTTGAAAACATCTATATAAATCCAAAACAAATATTATTATTTTTATAAACATTTTTTCAGGAGTTTGTTAGAACTATAAATAGCAAGTCAAGAGTAGAAATCAATGATAATACTCAATTGAAACGATTCAGTGCACTCGATAGATTTCAAAATAAAAAGAAAAAATCAAAACAGTGATGATTAAATGTTATTTGTTAAAATCTTTATTTTAGTATGAGATCTTAACAAATTAATAATATATACATGTTCCTTAAGCAGAACATTTTATATGTATCACAATTGTATATCATTTATTAAAAAAAAATTCAATTCATATATCAAGATGTCTAAACTGACGTCTCAATTTTTCATGTTTATTTCTTTTTTCTTTGTGGTTTTTCCAAGGTTTTGACTGACCAGGTTGAGACTGGTTATTACTATTACCCATTATATCAACTTTTTTTGTTCCTTTACTATGTGCTCCCATAGAAACTTTTTGAAAAAACATCAGGTCAAGATCAGAGCCAGACATTACATTAGGCTGAAAATAGTTAATAGTTACTATTTATAATTAAATATCATTTAGTGTGGTATATTTTATTTATTTACCTTAAGGAGTACATTTTCAAAAGGAGTGAAAGTTTTCATGGCTCTATTTTCATCAGGCGGTGGAAAAGAGTGAAACTTTGATTGATCAATATCAGGTGGAGCAATACAATATAGTAATCGCCCTGTTACATAATGTTTCAAAATTATACGAGCTGCTCTTGAGCCATCTGGTTGACCATTAGCTGTCATGTATCCTCTGCTACCTAAATTGATCAATAGTTTTATTTTTAACAAAAGAAATTTAAAGATTTTTTTTAATAGTTAAAAATTAAAAATTTTACAAGCATAAGCATTAAGAAATTCATCAGCAGTAGGTGCTCGATCTGGATCTTCGCCCTCTAGTGGCTTTGTGACCATTATACTATATTGATCCTCTAATATATGTCTTGGTATTTGTGAGCATATCATATTAACTGGAGGTCTATGATCTCTCATTTGATCAATAGGAAGAATACCATTGACAATAAGATCAGCCTTTGTAAATACAAAACTAGGCATTACCAATCCAGGACAATCACATAACATTAGTTCTTTATCCACGAAAAGTGTCTATAAGTTGATCAAATATTTATATATTTAAGTAGATTACAAGTACAAGGTGGCACTTTTAACGCTATTTAACCATTTAATTTTTTTTAAAAATAAATAATTTTTTTGTTCAATATCTATTTTTATTTGTCTGTTATAAAGTATTTTTATATTCATCCCTTATGTGTTATATTTTATAATAGATAAATAAAGATACATATGTAATTAACAAAAGGTAAAAAAAGAATTATTATTTTAAAAGAAATTGAGTGGCTAGTGTTAAATAATCAATGTATAAACATATTTCATAAATCAATGCAAACCTGAAAATGTTTTGTTTTTCCAGGAGTAGAGGATACTGATACTTTTTTATTTGCTAACAATGTATTGATAGTAGAACTTTTACCAACATTTGGATAGCCCACTAGACCTATAGTAACATACTCTTCAGAAGTACGTTTTCTGTTTCCATGTATTTTTTTAAAGAGAGTAATAAGGTCTTCTTTTGACAACAAATTATAAGAGTTTTTAAACTTTGGACATTCCTCTACAATAATTACATAATTTTTTCTTAATGTATCATTTAATATAATGAATGATTATTATTTTTAATTTACCATAATTATCACCAATTACTTCTTCTTCTTCATCAGTTTCATAATCTGAACTATTCCAATCTTCTTCTTCAATAACTTCTGTTTCTTCTTCTTCAATTTCTTCACACTATTTTAATAATTATAATAAAAATTATTAGTGAACATAAAAATCTTGTAAGTATTTTATTTAATATGATTTTTGTACTTTTTCATTGGCTTCCTCATCCCCTTCTTCAATAGTTTCTGCATTTTGTTTAGCAGAATAAAATGCAATAGATACTGCTCTAGAGTCAAAATATTTTGCCCAATATTTTCTTTGATTTAAAGTTAATAAATCAGATTTGTTTAATAATAACAAGTTGGTTTTTGTTTTATCTACTTCCTTAGCATATTTTTCCAAATCATCACAATAAAAGAGTAAAGGGTTACGTGCATCAACAATCTGTACTAAAACATCACTTCTTTCTACAACTCTCCAAAGCTGTCTCCAAAAATCTAAATTTTTTTCATATGGAGTTAAAACTAAACCTTTTTCTTCCTGAAGCTCAGCTAATTTACGACGCCAATCTAGAAAATTCTGTTTTTCTTTTGTTTGTAATTCTTCAGGAGTAGTTTTTCCATCCCACTGTGGTCTTTAAACGAAAAATTAATGCTTAGAAATAAATATTTTTCCATATTTACCTGCGAGGAATTTTAATGAAATGATTAAATTCTTTATGAGTTAACTCAATTTTGGATCGTTCTTCCTTTGTTAATGTGCCCACCATACGCGTTTCAGGTACAAATTCAATATTTAATTTTTCTGCCTATAATATGTAAATGACATGATTTTTATAATAATGGATTCTTGTATAAATATTAAATACGTAATTATTATGTTGAAACTGTCAATATTTAATTTAATTCTTACAGTAAATTCTGTCCCTGCTAACTCAGCTGTAGACAAAAACTCTTCAAATGAACTTTGTTCAGTAACAGATTGTAAATTAAGTCTGCCCCATTCATACCCATCAGCCAATTCAGAAGTATGCAACTTCAAAAAAAATTTCACAATATTAAATAGTAAAATAATTTAATATAGTTTTTAAGTCAACTTACAAATGAATCAGGATTTAAATTTCTATTAGTACGACCAAATCTGTCTTTAATTAATGCACGTCCAAAATTATGTCCACCACTAGCTCCTTTTTTTTTACCCATAACTAATCTTGTTTTTCTTTTTAACTTATATATTAAGTATTGATATTATTTAAACAACGATTTATTTATTTAGTAGTAATAAAATAAAATAATATTATATTAATGTAATATTTATTAACTCATATCAATTTATAATATCAACTAGAGTAAAAAATTGATAATTTGCACATGATTGCTATTGATATTACATCGTAGTTTTCACTGCTTACTGAGATAATATTTTGGTGTGGTTTATACGATAATTTTGATTCATTACCATTTTATCACTGTTTTGAATGTTTTATTATCAGATTAATCCAAATTATTTCCCGCTGCAATTACAAGTTAATTCTTACAAACATTTTGAAAACAGTTTTTAGTCTGAATTTGAGATAAATTTTTTTATGTTAATTAATTTAATGGTAGCTAAAATTACCTTTTAATACAATAGTTCCATTTTAACATTTTACCAAAGTTGCATCAAAATTAAGAACGTTTAAGCTCGAACTTCTTAATTTGTTATTCAAAATACTAGAAATAAAATTTTTACTGTTTTCTCTATTTCGGTTTGTATTTACATGTACTTTGTATAATGTTATCTAATTTTAAAATTTATAAATATGACATATTTATAATAATGTATGAAATGTATGTTTCTTTAAGTCTGTATTACAGTTGTTCAAGTAATTAGTATTAAGGGTTAGTGATTTTTCTTTGACCTCTATATTTCTTCTAAAATAATAAGTAAAATTTATTCCTCACTTTTTGAGTGGTTAAATATTTTTTAGGTTTTTACCATATTCCTTATAAGGGTAACAACTTTATATTTTTAAATGACAACGTCATATTTCACTACTGTATATAATAGAAACTATTGTTACATAATTAAAAATATTGGTTACATCAATGTTCCTGTTCAGAAATTCAATAAATCAAAATATTTAAATTTTGGTTTTGAGTTTTAAGTTGTTCATAATTAAACATGTAAAATTAACTAAACCAATTCAATATAGCCCAGTTATTTTCTAATATAGAAAGTTTTTTTAAATCAATATACTGAAAATGTTGTTTTTTGAGTTGTTTCAGTTTTGAACAGTGATGACAATATTGTCATTAATATTTAGTATTGTTTAGTTACATAACCATAAATGTGTGACTATTGAACTAATAATAAGCCATTTATAAGAGGGTCCTATCTCAATTTTTTCAATCTAATTTAGTAAAATAATGTTAGTGATAACCTTTTTTTTTACTCATTATGTAAAGATATTTATTAAAGTAACCTCCCTAAACTTTTTACTTCTAAACACTTCTCAATTCATCTCAGTTTTGAAATGTCAGTATATACTAAAGACAAGGATGTATCTGAAAATATTTTTTATAATATTTAAACCTATGAAAGCTTAAACACTTTTATTAACATCATTATTATAATTATAAAGAGATGTAGGTGTTATATTCTCCCATGATAAAAATACTTTCACGGTAATGATACAATTATTTTTTATTTGGAAAAAGGTTATTAAATATTTTTCTTATGTATATTATGATCTGGGAAAAAAATTCTAATTATGCTTCTGATAAACATTATTATGTTCAAGTTTTAGAAAATAATGTACATTATTTTTTATTAAATTTCAGTTTAATTTAAGAAATGGCATATACTGAAAAACATAAACAGTTTTTGCAATACTTCATGTTCAATAGAATGGTATTAGAAGAAGACGTAAAGAATATAAATGCAAATTTATTTCCTGGAAAACAATTAGATGATACTGTCGAACTAATCAATACAAAAATTTTACCACTTGAGTTTAAAATAAGTAAAACTATTTGTGAACAAAATGGTAGTATTAATTATACATTTATAGCATTATTTGTTGATGAATTTAACTGTAAAGTAGACCCTATTAAAAAGTTATTTGCTGATATTGTCAATTTCATCATTTCATCTGGAGGGTGTGCTCCATATAATGAAATGATTGAAAATTATAAAAATTTCAATTCTTTTGACAATTCCTTAGATGTTTTATTTGAAAAAAAATATTTAACAGCTGATCCTGAAAAAAATATTTATCTTACACCATTAGCAATTAGTGAATTGGAAGGCTTTTTAGTTGAAAAATATATCAGTAGAAGATGTATGGGCTGTATGAGTATTGTAGTTTATGGAATTCAATGTAGTTCATGTAATGATTTCATACATGGTCATTGCTTGACATCTTATAGCTTAAGTGTTGGTAGTCAAAAGTGTCCAAAGTGTTATCATAAAATATCTGTCAGTTGGATTCCTTTAAATGTAGGACAATCTTTATGAATATTAATGTTTGCCTTAATACTGTTTGCAGACACTATTTTACTGCTTATATCAGATATATATGATTACTTAAATTTTTTTTTTTTTAGAAATGAATGTTAATTTTTTTTAATATTATAATTTTATATTGTGCAGTATAATATATCTATAATATTGAAATAAAAAATAAATTTTACTTTAAAAAAATTATTTTGTAAATCAATATTTATCTCATGAATAGATATCAAATAATGATATTGATTAAATTATTAAGTGTTGAGTAATGTTTATCTTCTTTTCAAGTTAATAAATTTACTAATGTTTGTAAATCTTGCAGAAACATGAAGCCATTAGTTAATTAAAGATGTAGTATAATCGGTTTTGATGGATGAAGTTCAGGACCAATTTTTGTCTAATAACACTTTTTTGTAAGACTCATTTAAGTTATCAATAGAATTCTATAGGTGAAGTAAAAATCTATAACTGCAAATTTTTAAAATTTTGTATTACACAACTTATTTTATCTTATTGATACAATGTGTCAAAGTTGGTTCTGATGAAGCTAATATAAATTTGAAAATTTTCATTGGTAAAAAATGAGAAAGTTCAACAATTGATTTATTTTTACTATTATATAAATTTTATCTTCAAAGCTGAGATGGTAATAATTTTACTATGATGTATTTTTTTTTGTCTGTCGGCACTTTTTCTTAGCTCTCACTGAACCGATTTTTTTAACAATACGTCATTTCATTTTATATAAAATTTTTGAAAACTTATTACTTTTGCCTACAGGGACTGATTTAAAATAGCAAAATTTTCACAAGTCAATTTTTTCAACTTTTGAAAATGTTTCGGAAATACTGTGTTTTTTAACATATGTTAAATTAAAGCTTATGTTATGTACTATAAATTAAAAAAAATATTGTTCCGACGATATATTTACTACGTACAAATGGCTGACATAGCTAAAAACAGACTATTTTTGTGTTAAAACTTCCGATTTTATATTTTCAACTTTAAATTGCTATAACTTTTTGAAAATTGAATGGATCAACACAAATTTTTGTTGTTAAATACTTTATATATACCCCTTTTATCCAACACATTTTTTTTTTTTTTTAATCAGACAATTTCCCGTTATACAGTGGGCATTCAAATCTTGAAACATACATATAAAAAGTAGAATTTTTGCAACTTAACTTTTGAAAATGATCAGGAAATATTGTGTCTTTTAAACATATGTTCAATTAATACTTATGTTACGTACTATAGATAAAAAAAATTGTACCGACGACCTATCTTTCATGTGCAAATGACCGTCGAAATTGAACAAATTTATTAAATATTTAATAACTAAATTTAAATTTATTAAATATTTATTAATATATTATATTTATATATCATAAAAAGTGTTCAGGATATAAATAAGGAAATAGGAATTAATTTTGCTTTTGGAATAATCCACCAATTTTTTAAAATCAAACTATCAACAGATTTGAAATGAAGTGTTTCTTATGATAGTGATTTTAATCATTGTCAGATATCATCCATACTTGTCCCACTATGCCACGTTCATATTGTGCCATGATCCCACGGTGCTACCGTTTTTTTTAGTCATTTTTTGAATCAATGTAATATTTATTTTGGAGACTACAGATTTATTTGAAAATTAATATTTATTCATAGATACAGTAAACACACCTCTTAAATCTGTATTAATAATACATATATTTTTTTAAAACTTCTTACGCATTTAAAATAATTTTTCTTAATTTTTGGTTAAAATTCAAATAATATAAACTCTCAAGTGCTTAAATTAAGGATTACTTAAATATTAAACAAAGAGGAAATTCAATTATAGATTTTGACACTCATAATTTTAATAGATGTACATGTTTTCAGAAAAGTCACATCAAATTTAAGAATAGGAAAAGTGAGTAATCTAATTACAAAAAGACATAGAGTAACTTGGATAAAAGTCCATATGGTATAAAAATATAATATTAAAATAAATTATTAAATTTTATAATTATGAAACAATGGTTGATGAATAATAAATTTTACATGTTTTTTGTTGTTTCAAAATCATCAAGCTAAAATTGAATATTTTATAGGTTTCAAACATTTTTCTTACTTTTATGATTTTGTATGTGCATACTTATATGATTTCGTACTTTTATTAATTTGTTCGTTAAAATGTATTCAACACTAAAGCTTTTATTTTTCATTTAATTTATTTTCATTGCTCATAAATAAAGTTTAAATCTCACTACTAAAATTTAATTTGTTTTTTTTTTTGTTAATTTGTGTAGCTAAAAAAAAATGTTTATAACTATCTTTAACTACAAGTTATATGCGATAAAAAAAAGTTCGCTCTTATGCTCTGAGTTACTCTGTGCAGAATTTTTTTTTTTTTTGTAAGTTTGCTTTAACTTGACTAAAAAGAGCTTACAACTGGATAGGAAAAAAGAAAATTGAAAAAATAAATGTTTGGACATACGTGCTTTTGTAACTGGACGACACACAAAATATTTATAAGGTAAAAAGAAAGTAAAAAAAAAAACAATTAAAAACAAATAATTATAATTTAAACACCGTATAACGTAACAAATTACATAAAAAAATGAAAATTCTTATAGAAAAAAAAAATATATTTTATACTTGATTTATTATATAGTTGACAATTAAAACTCATTCTCAAACATTTAATTAAGCAATAACATTTAATTAATTAAGTATATAACTGGGTTAAAAAGTTAAATAACTTTATAATACGTTTCAACGATTTTTTCGATGTTTATAATTTTATGTACTGAATAGTACCGGCCTTGGGCATTTTGACGCCCGATGCAAGCATTATTATTGTACTCTGAAAAAAAATGTACGACCTTTTTTAATTGATGAGTAAAAAAAAAGAAAAACTTAAAAATATGGAACATCACATTTTTTTTCTTGTTGAGATGCCCCGTGAAATTGCACGCGTTGGTCATACCTCAAGTTGTTTATATAAATAGATAAGATAATAAATAGATATATAATAATAATTTAAGTGTCAATTGTTATAATTCTAGTTAATTTTTTATGATATTCAAATTAAATAGATTTATAATTTAACAAGTATTGTTTCAAAAATAGAGTAAACGTAGACTACTTTGATTTCCATACTTTATTATTTTTATTCTTTGAACTATGATTTCTAGGACCCCCATTTATTTTATAACGCGATTCATTTCTTTTATATACTTTTTATTGTTTAAAATATTAATAATTAAAATTTGAAGTTTTACGTGTGGTTTTATAGAAAGTTTAATTTTACTTTGACACCCGTATTGCAAAAAATCCTTAAATATACAAAATTTTTTTCTTGAGATTTCATTTTTAGTTATTTCACAAAATATTATAACGTATAATATTGATAACTTTCAATAAATATATGTGCACATTAGTTACAATTTATTAATAACTAATTATAATTTTACATAGGTTTAAAGTTTAAATTTACAATATAAATTTGAGCTTTTCAAAGTCCGTTGTCTCTTATTTTAGTAGCTTTATGTAAGGAGTATATTTTAAAATGGTATCATATTAAAATTTGACTATAATTATACATATTAAATAGAATAAATTTATATTAATCGTCAAAAAATGTATTGAATATTAATTTGAAATAATATTTTTGTCAAATAGATTCAAAAAAAATATATATATTCGTTATGTATAACGAAACTTGAGTTCAAATTAAAATTTATTTTTACTCAAATCCAAATTAAATTTGCTGAAAAAAACGATTTTTAATTTTTTTTCGAAAGTCGGCTTTTAATAATAAATAATTTTGTGGTTTGGTTTTTGAATTTTTTTGATCTTTGGATTAATATGTTATCCTTAGGCGTAAGAGATTTTTTGTGTAATGTAGGTGCGGGTAATAATTTATTTTGGTTTACTAGCGTATTCGTTAGGTAATTATGAACAAAATTTCTAATCATAAAAATAATGGCATAGATACTATTTTTTTAGAGGAAATTAAAAATATGTTAGTTTTAATATCTTTTTACTTTTTTAAAAATAAATATTAAAAAATAAGTTAGAAGATGATAGAATACATAATAGTATATATGAAATAAATAATAGACTAAATAATAATATTAATATACATATAATTTGTATTTAAATAAACATTGTTATTTTAATGTTTACTAACTTGTCTTAAAGATTAGTCCTTAGTTTCAAATATTACATATTACTTTAATTTAAATGTTATATAAAATTTTCTGTATCCTCGAAGTAATAATAAATTAGTGTAATTACTATAGTAGTAAATAAAACAATAACAATTAATTATAAAAGTAAAAAAAAACAAGTGTAGATCTATTTTTTTTTTAATTATGTTAATTATTTGAAGTAATATAATTAAATTTGTAATTTTAAACATTTTATATAAAATTTAATCTAAGTAAAAATTTAGACGATAACAACTTATTTTAATTCAAGATTTTCTCAAATGTCTTGATATTTGTTGAATTAATTAGTGTTTCTAAACAAAATGAACTTTTTTTAAAAGAATATAATTGAAAATATTACTAATTTTAAACAACTAATTTTCCAGTGCATTTTTTTTAAATTTAAATAATATTGGATAAACATAATTTATTATTATGACCTTGTAGTTAGTTGATAGTATTTGTATTTACCTATCGAAAATTTCAATGGGGTTTGTTGGCGGTGGTAATGGGGCATTTTCTTCGTAAATCATAGCCATCCTGTCAAAATTGTATTTTTCATGGTTTTCCTTTAATAAAAAAAAATAATGATTGGATTTTTTCATTGAAATATTTAAGAAATTAAATTCAATGAATTAAAATATGTATTGATTTTTGTATTTGTCTTACGCCAATGGAAATTAAACATTCTTCTCCACTATTAGAGGATGATTCATCATCGTTAGACAATGGTCTTGATATAGTGTTGATATTCAGCTCCATATACAATTGTCGCAGTTGTTCACTTACTAACAAAGGCTAAATGCATATATTATCACATCAATAATTTTATTTAAAAATATATTTTATGCAAGTACTTGAGTAAGTTCTTTTAACGCGTTCATGTCTTGTCGAAGAACTTCGTTCATGTCTACAGGTTGCATCTGATAACGGAATATTAGATCTGGTGTAGCCATTATACCTTCCATCCAAAACGGCTGCTGAAATTATTATATAAAAATTTTATTAAAGAGCAATGTAATATTTTCACTTAAATTCGTTCTATAAAATAAAAATTAACTATTACTTTTTTAATAAATTGGTGACGGATACCAGATAAACCAAATTCTAGTGGCCACGATAAATCCTATAAATTGATAAAATGTTTTCATTATTATACATTTAAGAAAAATAAATGGATAAAGTTAACAAACGAAGTAAATCAACAATTTTTTTTTATTATGTTATATTTACTATCATGAGTATTTTAAACGTTTTAAACTAAATAGGGAATCACAGTATTTATATAACTACAACTATACTATAGATATAACTTAGCTGAATGGAATACAAATGCATAAAAAATCAATGAATAAGTTATGATCGTATTGTTACAATTTCATCTATTTTTTAGGTATACATACATCATATCTAAATGATCAGTTTTGCATTATGAACTGTAAAAATTACACAAAAAGGTCTACTGATCGTATAGTAGATAATATTTGCTATTCTCCTTCTATCCAGGTATAAAAATGTGCATAACTCTCAAAGTGCTGGTTCAAAAGATGATATCGACGAGTCATTTTTTTAATTACATCATTTTCTATTTAAAAGCGAATTAAATATGTATGTTTCTATTAAAAAAATAAAGTCAATACCTTTTTAAAGTTTAAGTGATGAACTTAAAAAATACTTAAAAATAGATAAATGAAGATACATATGTAACTAACAAAAACCAAAAGAAATGTAATAACAAAAAATTTAAGAGAAATCAAGTGGCTAGTGTTAAAAGAGTCACCTGTACACAGAGTGAAACAGATCAAATTGACAACTCTTATACCTAATAATATAATTAACATTAAAAAAAAAAAATTTAATTTTAATTTTTTTTTAATTCTAAATTGCCAGTTTTTAGAATTTTTTTTACAAAAGTTATTAATGGATTGATAATAATTTTAGAACGAGTAATTATTGACTAACAAACATTTTCATACATTGAGTGGATATGTAACGCGGGTGGAGTATGCATTATAAATATACATATATAAAGGACACATGAATATCTTATACCCACCCGCACAAAATATTTACTCAATGTATTAAAATGCTCATGCTAAGTCAATAATTACTGGTTCTAAAAAACGTATCGAACTAGTAACCATTTTTGTAAAAAATCACTAAAAACTATCTTTTTTGATATTTTGAAAAATGTAATATTTCAAAACAAAAATTGTTTTATTTTTTATTATTGAAAGCAAATCATACAAATTATGATTTTAACGTAGTCTAAGAAGCAAAAATTATTAAATAAAAAATTGTAACATAATGTTAGTTGTATCAAAAGTTATGGGAATATCAGTTAGATATGTTCCACTTTATATTTATGTATACAGAGTGGCCCACCACTCACTGACAACTTAAATAACTTTTGATCCAGTTAATATTTTTAGCTGATTTTTTTTTTAAATAATAGTTATACGTTAGGTCCATAGCTATATCTCAATAATTAATTTTTTTACATTTTATTAAAAATATTATTTATTTTTAAATTTTAAATAAAATGTAAAAAAAAATCTAAGATAGCTATTTTTTAGAGTAGAATTTAAGAAAAATTTTAGTAAAAAAATATCTTATTAATATTCAGTAGTAAATATTCTGTAGCGTTTTGAAGTTTGTGAAAATTTGAATTTTCATGTATTATTTTACGGTATTAAACATTGAAATACGTATTGAGAAAAGGACAGAAGAAAACGCTATCTTTTCATGATTACTGTGTATACATATGATGATAATGTGTATACATTACAAACTTGGCATTAATACCATGATAAGAAATTAGATAAGGCAATTATTACTTATCACTCTCATTCAAAAGTATATTGAAAAGATAGCGTTTTCTTCTGTCCTTTTCTCAATACGTATTTCAATGTTTAATACCGTAAAATAATACATGAAAATTCAAATTTTCACAAACTTCAAAACGCTACAGAATATTTACTACTGAATATTAATAAGATATTTTTTTACTAAAATTTTTCTTAAATTCTACTCTACAAAATAGCTATCTTAGATTTTTTTTTTACATTTTATTTAAAATTTAAAAATAATTAATATTTTTAATAAAATGTAAAAAAATTAATTATTGAGATATAGCTATAGACCTAACGTATAACTATTATTTAAAAAAAAAATCAACTAAAAATATTAACTGGATCAAAAGTTATTTAAGTTGTCAGTGAGTGGTGGGCCACTCTGTATATTAAATGAATACAAAAAATACAATTACATCTTTCCCGCTACTGACATAGCTCTCAAAGCTGTCTGTCTTGTTTCTTATGCTAGATGAATACAAGCTACTATCTTCAAATATCCATCCATTACTAAAAAACATTTAAACATTTTTCAGATAAATAATTTAACAATTACATAAATGTAAATATAACAGTTATTATTATATACCTAGATTTTAAACTTCCTATCTCTCGTCTACATTCTGAATCGGAACTAGTCACTATTTCTTCTTGTTGTGCCTGCGACGTTTTTGTTTTCTTTTGAGTCTTTATTAATAAATGTAAATATAACACCTCATTAATTATTATTAATTCTATACATTGATCCTTAGAGATTTATTAATGAAAATAAAGTACAAATCTTATGAAAAATTCAAATAAATATTAATTTAATTAGCTTTTGGTGATCACAACAAGGGGTTGGGATGAAAAACGCCTTATATAAATATTTCTTGTAAAAATCCTTTGTGCAAATTGAGAGATGTGATCGCATTTTAGTACCCTTTAATTTAATTTACCACTGTAAATTAAATTTTTTAAAGGGAGCTTAAAAAAAGATTGTTAAAATTATTTCATAAAAATTTACTTTTGTGAAATTTTGAACTTAATTTAACTTTTAAATCAATTTTTTAAATAAAAAATAAGATTAAAAACAAAAAGTAGAATGAAGAAAAGAGAATTTTGATTTTTATGTGACATACATGTTTATCTAGTAGCGCATTTTTACAAAATTTGTGATTCAAAATTATTCAATCAATTAAAACTAATACAAATCGTTTATCTGATATTATAGCATATTCTTAACTCATTTATAAAGAATAGAGCTGAAATAATAGTTTAATTACTTGATCTAGATCTTTAGGCATTGTGTTTGGTTGTTCTCTTTCAGAATTCGATTTTGTTTGAAATTGAGCATTTTTTTTGTATGTTTGTTGTGCATAAGACTGAAAAAAAATTGACATAATCACCGAAAAATCAAAATTTTATGTTATAAACTTTTTCTTGAAAAATAACGTAATATAAAAAAATGTAAAAAAAATGTTAATAATAACTTAAAAATATAGTTTTTGAGTTATAACCCATTAAATTTTGACAAAAATAAAATTTGAACTTCGATGTAAATATTTAAACGTACATGTTTTACCATGATATTCGTTTTAATTTATGTTTATCCATACAAATTCTCAATTCTCACTGAATCTAAATAATACATTAAAATAATCGGGTTTTAATCTTATTGAATTTATTGTTCTCAAAAATTAGAAAAATAATCAATTTTAAAAATGTAGAAAAAAATATCATAGTAAAACATAGGAAATTTCCTAAATTTTTTTTTTCTATTTTAAAAACTGCTATAACTTTTAAAAATACTGATTCTAATAAAATTTTAATACAATATGAAAGAGGCAATAAGCTTTCTTTTATTATGATTTTTGTAAAAATTCAAAGAAAAACCTAATTACATGAAGGGTTTGAATGAGATCTCTCATGTAATTAAAATGTTTTTTTTCAACTATTTTGAAAAAAGTTCCGAAATGATTAACAATTTTAAAACTATAGTAAATTAAAGCTCTAGAAACGCACTATAAGATTAAAAAACAAAATTGGTATAACTCTTTCGAAAACGCACTAATCGTAATGAAATTTAATAGTTCAATTTTATAATAATAAATTCGATTACTATACTAAGTATTCATATATTATACTATTAAATTATAAAACTTGTACTCATTATTTAATTAAGGAATTCCTAATCCTTAGGCTTTGTTCTCTTAGAGTAATCCAATAATTCCATCTAAAAATTAAACATTATCTATAAATTCGAAAGAAAGCGTTTTTTATGATAGTATTGTTAATTATTCTCAAATATTATTTATACTTGTCCCAACTACCGAGTTAATTTTTTTTATTCCTTTAATTGCGTAGATTCACTATACAAAATCACAGTGTAAATTTTTGTTAGTTATATAATATTTTTTTTGTAAAAACTAACCACTAGAATTTTTCTACGTTTGGAATCTCATTTTCTAATGATGATAGTGCTTTTAGATTGCTTTTGTGTGTTTTGCTCACGTTTACATTTCCTATACTCTTAGCATTTTATTATATTATCGTCATTTTCATTACCTAAAACTATTGCCTTTAAATTTGTATTAAAATTTTAGTAGAAACTTGAGAAATTCACTTTCAGAAAATACACCAATTTCTGAGAAAAAGTAATACTGTAAACAATATTTTTAATTTTTTAATTTTACAGTCGAAAATTAAATTATAAAATAAACAAAAATAATCTTATAATAACAAACCTGATTTTGTAGTAATAAATATGGTTGAAATAGTTGAGCTTTGGGAGTCATTTGGTTTAACACTGGAATAGTCATAAAAAGAGGAAGTGTCAAAGGTTGTAATTGCTCAGCCGCATTATCTAAAAAAGTCATTAAAAGATAAAATAATAAATACATAATTATAATAGAGTTTAAATAATGTCTAATAAAAAAAAAGTCTCTTTTTCTATTATAATTAACAGGATATTGCTCATACGAATTGGTCAGTATTCCCAATTTTAAACACTCTCTATATTATTTTTTTTAATGATGTTAAGTACAATATTGTCATTAGTCAAACGCTTAAGTCTTTTAAATAATACATAAAACAAAATAAATTACTCATTTGAGGGCACTATAAATCATAATAAGTCTGTAGTTAAAATAATTAATATTTTTTTAACTTTAAATTTTTATTTCTAATAATTACGTTACATTAATATACATTTATTATATTAAATAACAGCTTCATAATATTAAAAATTAACTTACCTTGAGTTTTACCGTTGGGTGCAGCTAAAGCATTAAAAGTATTATTTTCATATTCATTAGGATTCCCTCGCATTACATTGTTGCTTAAAGGAAGTTTATAGTATAATACATGATTAGGATTAGGTTTTGGTAAGTCAACCCTATAATAAAAAATGTGTCGAAAACAATAATTAATATTACTAATTATATCATATAGTTTGAAAATTATTACAGTTAACTAATTAGCTAGACCATGGGCGTCTAAAATAGGACAAAGTAGAGCTTTCTTGGTTTTTTGCTTGGTCAGTTTTCGTTATCATTTAGTATTAATGAATTTTAAACATTAGGGTTAAGAGATTAATATAAATGTCATGGTTAAAAATTCAACATGCCAGTAGAACTTAAAAGTACATCTTGTTAATTAAGATGCTGCCAATTTTAAGAGTAACTTAAAACTAAATTTTTATACAATTCACAAATGGATAATCATTAACTGTCTTTATCACAAAAAAATGTTATATAATTTATTTAAGAGGCTATTACGGCTTTTAACAGTCTAAAACAGTGAATTAAAAAAAAACCCAGCACAGGGGGGTCGCGGTACAGTGGTGACGTTGCAAAGATGGATCAAGTATAATGATATCTGACAGTGATTAAAATCACTATAAAAAAAACGCTTCGATGCAAATCTTTAGATAGTGTTTAATTTTAAAAAATTGGTGCACCCAAAGAAAAACCTCAATCAATTTTGATAGAGAAATTTTATCAAGGGTTTATGATAATGTTTTATTAATACGAACAAAATAACTATTCTTATAAATAATTATTGTTCAAGACAAGAAAAAAAAATATCATATTGATAAATATATCATAGATTCAATAGTAATGATATATTTATCAAATTGAACAATGAATTTATTATATAGATCGAGGTTTTTCTCTGGGTGTGGATTATTCCAAAAGCTACATGATCTGCTAGTTCATTATTAATATCCTAATTAAGATAAAGTATGTCGAATGAAAAAGGGATTATTAAAAAATATTATTTCTCATAAAAAAATAATGTTGATCCATACACTTTTCAATATGTCATAGCATTATAAAGTTAAAAATGTAAAAAATAAAATCGAGAATTTTCACACAATAATAGCATTCGGTAGCCATTTTCACCGTGAAGATAAAATAAAGTCCGAAATTTTTTTTTCGCATAATAAAGTAAATTACATTAGCTTTAATTTAAGATATATATAAAAGTGTCAGACTTTCCGGAACACTTTCAAAATTTAAGTTGAAAAAGTTAATTTTTTGTGAAAAAGTTGTCATTTTGAATCCCCCCCTGTAGGCAGGTAAAAAGTCAGATTTATAAAAAAAATATACCAAATGATAGGTAAAGACATCATGCATCTACAAAAAAAAGAATTATATTGATCCATACATCTTTCGAGAAGTTATAGCATTATAAAGTTAAAAATATAAAAAAGAATTTTTTTACAAAAATCGTATTTTTTTTATTAAGTTTAATGTCTGTTTTCACCATGAAGATAAAATAAAGTCCGAAATTTTTTTTTACCATTATAAAGTATATTACATTAGCTTTAATTTAAGATATATATAAAAGTGTCAGACCTTCCGGAACATTTTCAAAAGTTAAGTTGAAAAAGTTAATTTTTTGTGAAAAAGTTGTCATTTTAAATCCCCCCTGTTAGCAGGTAAAGGGTCATATATAAAAAAAAAATATACCAAATGATAGGTAAAGACATCATGCATCTATAAAAAAAAGAATTATATTGATCCATACATCTTTCAAAAAGTTATAGCATTATAAAATTAAAAATATGAAAAAGAATTTTATTACAAAAATCGTATTTTTTTTATTAAGTTTGATGTCTGTTTTCACCATGAAGATAAAATAAAGCCCGAAATTTTTTTTTACCATAATAAAGTATATAACATTAACTTTAATTTAAGTTATATATAAAAGTGTCAGACTTTCCGGAACACTTTCAAAAGTTAAGTTGAAAAAGTTCTACTTTCTACATGCATTTTTTAGATTTGAACCCCCCTCAAATATAGGGAAATAGTCCGATTTAAAAAAACAGTATGTCGAATGAAAGATGTATTAAGTTACAAAATCGAAAATTTTCACACAAAAATAACATTCGGTAGCCATTTTCACCGTGAAGATAAAATAAAGTCTGAAATTTTTTTTTTTCGTGATAAAGTATATTACATTAGCTTTAATTTAAGATATATATAAAAGTGTCAGACCTTCCGAAACATTTTCAAAAATCAAGTTGAAAAAATTAATTTTTTGTGAAAAAGTTGTCATTTTAAATACCCCCCTGTGGGCAAATAAAGTGTCACATATAAAATATACCAAATAAAAGGTAATGATATCATGCATCTATATGAAAAAAAATTATATTAATATGTTCATTTTTGAAAAAGTTATGGCAGTTTTTAGTAAAAAAAATTGAAAAAATGTTAAAAATTAGCGATTTTTAAATGTGTAATTTTTTGGTGGTTTCCCCCATTTACGGGGAACGAGGGAATTTTTTTCAATTTTTAAGGGTAATGTCTCCAACTAGATACGATTTGTGATCTTTTGACGTACTTTTGAAAGAAATCGGTCCAGTGAGAGCTGAGAAAAAGTGGCAACACACATGGATCATTATATTTTTTTGAGATAAGTATTATATATATTTATAATAAAAGGGTTGAAGTTCTTAAAAAATGGGGTGGATTTTCTTTTTTAAAAAAAAATTGAAAAAATGTCGAAAATTAGCGATTTTTAAATTTGTAATTTTTTTGGAGGTTTCCCCATTTACGGGGAACGAGGGAATTTTTTTCAATTTTTGAGAGTAATGTCTTCGACTAGATACGATTTGTGATCATTTGACGTATCATTGAAAGAAATCAGTTCGGTGAGAACTGAGAAAAAGTGGTAACAGACACAAAAAAAACACATCTTAGTAAAACCAATACCTTCTCAGCTTTGCATCGAAGCTAAAAAATTCTCTAATGACAATTAATTGATAGAGCTGTACTTCATATCGTTTTTTCCTTTAATTATTGGATTTATTATTGGTATTAGGATGGCAAGCCTTTTTTACTGGCTACTCGGGTAGTACATGTATTTACTACTTGAAATATCTCTAGAAAGCACAGATTGACTCTTTATATGAGCGTTATAGGCTTTTTTATGTCATATTAATAAAAAATATATATATTTATTATTATGTAAAATTTAAAGTAAACTTATCTCACTTAAATCTATTAACAAATATATATATATATATATATATATATATATATATCAGTTTGAGTTTAGATTCTTAGAGTAGCGAAAACTACATAAGTTTCACCATTAAGTGTTTTTTACAAATATATCGTAAAAGAAATGTGGGTAGCGGTGGGCTATTTTTTTCCTTTATTAAAATATGTCTCTGATTAAACTTATTAATATTATCTTACATTGTCTGAGAATCTCGACTTATTAAACAAGGAGGCCAAATTTGTGTAGATCTGGCCACAGTAGGAGTCATTGGTGATGTTTCACTATCTTGCGTCTGTGTATTTACAGTAGTTGGATTGTTAACCATCGCGTGTTTCCTTTTGGCTATCTTATTATCATGCATGCTGGAATTACTACGTTTTATTCCATGAGTAGTGTCGGACTAAAAAATATATTGTTTTGCAACCAGTTTTGGATGTTATATTTACAGTATTGTATAATTATTATTGTTTTTTAGTAGTATAAGAAACAAAAAAATAATGTCCTTATGTTAAATCAAATGATTTTGCCATGGGAGGGTATGATAAACCTTAGTGATAGAAACATTTCGTGGGCGCTGTAATCTCATATCTCAGAGCTTTTTTATATGTATTACTTTACTGAATGTTAATGTGGACTAAAGGTTATTCATGACTTCCATCTTATTAAGTATCCAAAATATAAAATATCAAAACATTAAAATAGAAAAAGTCATTGTGGGATCTATTGCCCTAATCATTTCTTATTTGATTTCCACTGACTGAAGGAGAGATATAAAAAAAAGAAAAAATTGACATTTCGAATAGTTTTTTAAGGTACCACTCACTGTGTCATTTAATTCTTCTTGGACATTCTTTTTTAATTTTTCAAAAAATTTGAATCGTTTTGCATTAGTTTTATGTTGTTTCACCAAATCATTTTCCATTTTTTTATTGTGTCTAAACAAAATGTATACATTAAAAACGTATGTTTATAACAAACTATTTATATATTGAATTGAACAAATATCTTTTGTATTTACCGAAGAAGCATAGCTTGAGTAAGTGGTGGTGGTTGTTTGATACGTTTCGATTTCTGTTCTGAGTAAAGTTTTGAAGATTCTTGATTGCTAACAGCATTAGCGATTGAGGAAGATGGATTCTTCATTAATAACAACTGGTCCGCCTTCACTTTATTAGAAGTTCTGAAATATGATTAATATGTTTATACCTGCAAATACGTATTTACTTTATAATGATTATTACACGAACTTTTCTAAATGAGAGGTATCTTCCAAACTTCCAGATTTCGAATAACTCTCTACGCTTGTATTGTCTGAAGGAACCCTCTTAAAATTGCTTTCAAAAAATCTAAACCAAATAGCGATTAGCCAGTAAATTGTAAATAACTTTGTATAATATCAATTTATACAAAATTAAAATTGAGCTGCAAAGGTAAGTATAGATAGATAAAATTTATTAGGAAATTTACACTCATTTTTGAGTGATTGTCGACGTAGTTTGATAATACACATGATTGGATGACTACACTTATACAAATAATTATTAGCACAGTAAATAAAAACAACCAAGTATTTCATTTAAATCTAAAAATAAATAAATAAATAATAGTAAAAATAAATATACATATAAGTACACTTAAATTTGACTATAGTTACCTGCTTATTAAATTGTACTAAATACTTATTATTAAAAGGAATACTAAGGAAATGTATAGGTATAATTAAATAGATTAGACAACAACTATGTAGGTAGTTGTTGGAAAGTCGAAATCACTTGCGAGTTGCTTATTAATTGAAAGGAACAGCTATCAAAATTAATATGTATTAATACAAATATGTACACTGTATACCTTTGTATGTTGTCGTTATAGTTAAGTTGTGTGTAACTTGGCGGTGTGCCGGAACTAGATTTACTTTCGTGGTTATGATGTGGAGATATTTCTCCCAGCATCACTGAATCACGATCCTATATAGTTTTGGAAAAGACAAAAATGATGCTAATTTACATTTAATAGTAAACAAATTCTACTGTAATCCAAAAAATAAGAAATTATTGAATGAAAGGTGTACATAGTTCTATAGTTTGGCCTGAAAACTATTAAGAACATTTTTATTATATAAATGTTATAAAATATCGTCAATGCGCAGTAATGTTCTTATGATTATTTAAAAGGGGTTGAATTCTGCAGCTTGTACCCAAAATCTGATAAGTCTCAAAAATTCGATTTTGGGATTATTCATGATATGTATAATAAAGGGTGTTATCTACATCTTTTGACATCTATCAAAAATAGAATGCCTATTTTCAGTGATGGCGCAAGCTTCTGTATTAAAACAACTTATATGGGGACTGCAGTAATATTATGATTTCAGAACCGTAAGCCTTAAATATAATTTTCAGGTGCGGGGTCTGATGCAATTGCGCTTCATCCCCCCTTTTCTTTGCGCTGGCGTATTGATATAAATGTTTTTTGTATATAAAAAATGTTGATTTGCATTAGATACCTTTGAAATTTTAAACTTGTTTTTGCTCGTTTCGTTCATTAAAATTACTAAAATTAACATATCAGCTTTTGAAAATAGCCACAGAATTATTTTTTTATGAGAACACATATTTATCTTAAAAATACCATTTTTTATAGGTATAAAGCAAATTTTAGAACTAAAAATTATAACCTCAAACCCTTTAGCTAAAAGAAAAGTTTAATTCTCATACTGTCTTTTTATTTTACTAGTCAGCATGATATAATTACTACTTTTCATATAAATTGAATTTTTAATACTAAATGAAATTAATTTATACATAATTTTTACAACTATGAAAACATGTATATATATAAATACTACTATATATAATTAGAAACTAAGCCAATAATATTGAATTCATAAATGTAATAAATATGTAAAGCTAATTTTATTTTTTGAACGTTTAATTAAGGGAGTTTACTAATGAATTATACGTACAGAGAAACTGTCATAATGTTCAGGTTGTATTTCTACTTCTAATGGTATTTGAATAGATGGATCTATACCATCTACTAAGAAGTTCATAAACATAGCTAAATCTTTACATTTGTTCGATATTTGCTTCTTAAGATTTGTGGAAGTTTCAATAGGTGACTTAAGTTTTTGTAAAATACTTGGTGCTCCAATCACTTTCTGTAATAAAAATCATAAATAATTTAGTTATGTTTGTTTAAACTAAGCTTAAATATTTAAAATTAAGATAAATTATACATTAATTAATTATATATTATATATTTATATCTCACAATCATTTAAATTTTAAGAAATATTTGTATACTGTACTGTTTACTTATAGAGACATAAAATATACTCCAATATTAAACTTTCAAAAAATAATCAACCCAAAATATATTTTACTTGCATTACAATCTATCATGAGATATGCAATACTGTAATCAGTAAAAATATTTATTCAAGTAATAAACGCTTTTATTTTATTTCACATTTTTTTCTAGAAAATTAATATTTAAATAAAATAAATGATTATAATTAGTTTCTATTGCAATACTAAATTCTCAATGTTGTTATTTTATAAAATCAAAACAGCTAATACAATAACAAATAATAATTGAAAAGTGTCAGTTAAAATAATAGAACACGCAAAGAATTTCAATAAATTACAATAATTTTATGTTAAAGTCAATGATGTATAACATTTTTTTAAATCTGCAAGCATATAACAAAATTTCATTGAACAAACTTTCAATAAATTACCTTGTTGAGTATTTTTTTCACCTCATCACACACTTCTTTAGAGTTTTTTTTGTCTTCTGGTGATTTTTCAAAAGAAATATCATCAATAGGAGTAGTAACGTCTGGATTTAAAGGACCCTTAAAAATTTTAAATACAATAATTACAATCGTATTTTAGATAATTTTTAAAATATATAAGTCATTTTTATTTAATTCAATTATTTTTAGAAGCTTTAACATTGGTAATAAAGTAAATGAATTTCATGTTAACGTAATCTATAATCTTAATAGTTTATGATATAACATTTTTTTTTTAAATATCATATGCCGTTTTCAAAATCACCTGTATCACTTTGTGACGGCCAATAATAAATTCTACTCTTCCCGACCAAGGGTTAATGAAATTTGACCATTCTGTTTGAACTAGTGCAAAATCACCATTTTGGCACTTGAATCTGTATGGTTTACCTTTGTATGGTACATTTCTGGCTTTTGTCACTGCATGAGCAAAATATATTACATTATATCTTTAAATAGTTAATGGTTTTTAATGCAACTGAGGTTATATAGAATGTCCTACCGTAATTCAATAATTTTAATTTAAGTTTATATAGTCAAATTAGTAAATCACAATGGGACACTTGTATATATAAAACAGAAATAACTAACAACTCTAATAATTTGATACAGGTGATTATAATCCAATAATCACACTGTGATTATTTTTTAAATAAATTTTGCATTTATAGACTGCGTTAAAAGCATATTTTTATTATCTATTATTTATATTTTTTTTATCTAATGAGATTTTATTTTTACAAATATTATACCTTAACGGCTATACAGTGGGTCAAAAGTCTCCGTACACAGATGTAAAATTTTTTCAACAACATAAAATAGCGACTCAAAAGCTAAATAACTTCATATTTATAACACACATTTACTCAGAAACATATTAATATTGATTTTTAGAAAGATTAAGCATATATACTAATTTGTTTACTTAATACATATATAAATATAAACAATTTTAGGAAAATGTGAGCAAAAAAAGTCTCTGTACATTTATAGATAAAAATTACAGATAAAAATAGGACTATAATAGGAGAAACCCATATAGACTTATACGTATGGATACCACATATCTGCGGGCATGTCATTATTGTTTCTGTAGACAAACGCTTAGAGCGTTTTATTCAGTTTATACACATTGAACAATGGAGATACCTATTGCAATTCGAAAATTAGTAATTAAACTAAGAGAAGATGGTAATTCTCTTAGAAATATTGCACAAACAATAAATAAATCACATTCGACTGTACATTTATAATAAACCGATATAATAAAACTGGTTCTTTCGAAAATCAAAAACGTAATGGTCGTCCCCAAAAATTAAAATCTCATCACAGGAGGGCTATACTAAGAACAGTTAAGACGGAACCAAAAATAAGTGCACCAAAACTTGCTGGTATGATTGATAATGACTATAATGTAAAAGTTGTGCCTCAGACAATTCGTAATTTCATTAGAAACGCAAGATATAAAGGTTGTGTAGCTAGGAAAAAACCTTTTATCAGTAAATTATATAAAAAAAATGTTTATATTTTGCAAAGGCACACATAAACAAGGGAAATGATTTTTGGAAATCTGTATTATTTAGCGATGAAAGCATGTTTAGTATTTTTGGTTTAGATGGGCTAGTTATGGTGTGGAGAAAACCAAACAAGCAAATGGATTGCAAAAATTTGTGCCCGACGGTAAAACATAGATGTGGTAATGTATTAGTTTGGGGCTGTATGAGCGCTGCAGGTGTTGGTATTTTGGTATTTATCGATGGTAAATGGATCAACATGTTTATTTAAACATTTTGAGAAATAATTTACATGCAAATGTTGAAAAACTAAAAATTGGCAATTCGTTCATTTTTCAACAAGATAACGATCCAAATCATACCGCAAAAAAAGTTAAATAATGGTTGTTATACCGAGTACCAAAGCAACTTAACACACCTCCGCAATCACCAGACATGAATCCTATAGAACATTTATGGGATAAAATAGGTAGACGTCTAAAAAATTATCAAACTCGAAACAAAGAACAATTGAAAACAGCAATTCTTGAAGTATGGAACAGTATTGACTCAACTGTTACATCAAAATTTGTAGAATCCATGGAAAAACGTATTAATGAAGTTCTTAGAGCTAAAGGATGGCCAACTGATCATTAATGATGATTATTATTATAATTAATTAAGTTAAAAATATTAATGTTAATTTGTACGAAGATTTTTTTGCTATTATTTTTCTAAAATTGTTTATATATATATTTATATAAATTAAAGTAATTAATATATATGCTTCAATTATTTTAAACAAATATTTATATGTTTATGAATAAATGTGTGTTACAAATATGGCGTTATTCAACTTTTAAGTCGCTATTTTATGTTGTTGAAAAAATTTAATATCGGTGTACGAAGACTTTTTTGACTACTGTAAATACTGAGTATTAAATAGATTCATTATTTATAATTTCATATCATTCATATTTGCGTTTTGAAGAAAGTAAATAATAGAGCATCTAACTATAATAGATTGAGACTATAAAATGATATCGGAAGAGAGAGTATGAATATAATATTTATTAAATATTAACTAACACAGATTTATTTTTAGAGAGTAAGGACAGTTTAAAAGATAATGAGAAAAGTTATCGTAATGTTCTTCATCATGAAAATAATTAATTGTTAAAAAATAAGCATGGGCTAGTAATAAATTGTAAATCTATAACGACAAAATTTAATTATAAGATTTTTGATAAATTTAAATTGTTGAACTAGGAAAATAGTTAATTATGTACCATTTAACATAGTTTGAAAATGATGCAGAGCATTTACATTGCAAACCAATTAGAAGTTTATGGAAAGAACTGAGAAAGTTTATAAAACGGAATAGAATTATTTGATACTAATAGGTAGTTATAAATTATTGATTATGACACTACTAGGTAGTTATAAATTAAAAGATGTAACAATTTTAGGACGACTAATCATGTGCGGGTAGGCCTACCGGGAAACAGATATTCTCGGGCGCGTTACGTTTTGTTTTATAAATGGTATCTCAAAATTTTACCTTTCATTCTTATAATCAGGTCAAAAAATATATAAATCAATAAAAAATGTTATATATATTTATACAGGGTGATTTTTTTATCATAACCCACTCAATTACTTACAGAATAATAATAATTAAAAAATTTTTTTTTATTATTATCTTTAGTTACACATTATTCTTGAATTTTTAACTATGTAATACTTTTGAAGTTCATCCCTTATGCCTTGGAGGGAGGTCAACTTTGTTTTTTTAAATGGTAACACATATTTTGAATTTAATAAAATGTTTGAGTTTTTAATTTAATAGTAAATAGCATTTGAATTTTTAATATAGCTTTATTAGCTTATTAGATATAAACATTTAAAGTTTCAAATTTTTGAGTTAATATACATGTATAATACACATGGGATTGTAAATACAGGTAGCTAATTGAATTTTTATGACATTGCTGTCTCAGTCACGGATTGTTTATTATCAATTATGATTATCATTAGATATACTTTCTGTATTGTCAGTTAGTGTATTTATAAACTCATAACAATGTGCCTTACTACAACTGATAATAACAATGCTGTGTACCTGCTAATATCGATGTTATAAAAAACCAATTAGCTACCTGTATTTACAATCCCATGTGTATTATACATGTATATTAACTCAAAAATTTGAAACTTTAAATGTTTATATCTAATAAGCTAATAAAGTTATATTAAAAATTCAAATGACATTTGTTATTGAATTGAAAACTCAAACATTTTATTAAATTCAAAATATGTGTTACCATTTAAAAAAACAAAGTTGACACCCTTGCCAGGCATAAGGGATGATCTTAAAAAGTATTACATAGTTAATAATTCAAGAATAATGTGTAACTAAAGATAATAAAAAAAAAAAAATGTTTAAATTATTATTATTCTGCAAGTAATTGAGTGGGTTATGATAAAAAAATCACCCTGTATGCATGTATAAGAATAAACCACAAGCGTTATAGTTTTTACACTTAGACCCAATCTAATATTTTCCGATAGCTAAAATGAATCGGTTTTTTTGAAAAGGCCATATCTCCATAAAATTTTATTTTTTAGGAAACGTAAAAAACTGTTTTTAAAGATCAAAATAAAATCTAAATTTTAGATGAAAATTGAAGGGTTGAATTATTGAATTCCATTATAAAAACCAACTATGATGTAATATTGACTATTTATACCTATTGGATTATTTTATGAGGGAATGAACGTGTTTGAGATATGGCCTCTTCCAATGGATTGTAAATTTTCATTGATTATGAACTCGCGGCTCTGATCAATTGTTTATTGTATATCATATAAAATTAAATAATTAGTCTTACAAAATATACTGTGCATTCTTTGTAATAATTTTATTTATGAACTTCAACATCACTTCTTTTTAGTTAATTTTTTCTTTTAATACAAATCATAGACTCAGTTTCGTCTTCAAATTCACTCATATTGACTTATTATTATTTTATACTGTTATCGACAACAGATAGACAATAAACCAAATGAAAATAGAATCTTAACAAATAAAATTGTTAATCAAGTTATTTTTGGAGAAATGGCCTTTTTGTAATGATCGATTCAAATATCACTTATCCGCTCCAGCTAGTAATTATTGAGTAACAATAATTTTAATAAATTTAGTGGGTATACAGTGCGGTTAGGTACAACTCGTACTGGTGTGTATTTATAACGCAAACAGTGAATTACAAAAAGGAAATTTTTTGTATATTTTTAATTCTACATTTTTAATAAAAGTGCAAATTTTTGCACATTTGTCGTGAGCAAACTTTAAGTTGTTTTCCTCAGGATATGCGGGTACACATGTACACACGAGCAGAGTTTGGACGACCGACACACATTTAACTGATTTTTTTTTGCAATCTTAGACTACGCTGAAATCATATTTTTTATTGATTATTAATAATTTAAAATTTTTTCAAAATGTCAAAATAGTTATTTTTTAGCATTTTTATTATAAATTATTTTTGATGAATGACAATTTTGAGACAAATATTTCATAAATTACAAGCATTATGGATTTAAGTGATGGCTCGTGGGTACTGGTGGTTGGTATACGATTTTAAATACACCACTAGTCATAGGTATAAAAAATAGCCATATTCTAGTCATATTCTAAACTTCACCTTATAGACGACGCTACCGGTCGTCCAAAACCCGTACCTAATATCGCAGCTAAACCTCACGCACACAATTACAGCGCTCACTTATTATATACGTTTCAGAATATTGCTCGGACGATGCTGTCGCGATTAGATTGGGTAATTTATTTTTAGAATTAACTGCGTGTGCGCTCGTCGTTATTGGGTTGTTATAATAATATAATCTCTATTATAATTATTTTCATTTCTATTTTGTACTGCGACTTTCAAAAATATATTATATGTATTGTGTTTTATTTTATTATATTTGGATATTTTTTATACCTATGACTAGTGATGTATTTAAAATCATATACCAACCACCAGTACCCACGAGCCATCACTCAAGCCCATACAAACTTTATGTATTTAAATGCTTGTAATTTATGAAATATTTGTCTCAAAATTGTCATTCATCAAAAATAATTTATAATAAAAATGCTAAAAAATAACTATTTTGACATTTTGAAAACATTTTAAATTATAAAAAATTGTTTTTATTAATAATCAATAAAAAATAAGATTTCAGTGTAGTCTAAGATTGCAAAAAAAGTATCAGTTAAATGTTAATTGTAACAAATATTATAGATGTCAGTTAGATCTGTTTCTCTCAGTATACACACACACACACATGTATATATATATATATATGATGGAGGCAACCTTACTATTTTCGTAAATTTCTTTTATCACAGACAAATCTTCCATATTATAATAATCAAAAACACATCTACCAATTATGTTTTGTGGTAAATATCCAAAATGAGAGATAATCAAATGATCAACATAACACCACTCTAATAGCGCATTATGTTTGGTAATAAAATTTTGTGGATTTTCTTTTTTTTCCTCTGGACCTAGATAAGATAATATTTTTAAAATGATATTTCAAAGTTACATTTTTAAAGTCTAAAAGTAAAACTATACAGTACATTTTCTGTATTTATTACGATTTTAAAGTGAATATAAAATAAACCATTTCAATATTTACTTACAGGAGTAAGCGGAATGAATTAACTGTGCTTTGACGATTAATAGAAGCTGAGGTTGGTGAATAGCAATAATTTCAACCAGGCATGTAGGTGTGTTGGTACAAAATGTTTCTTTAAATGCAATAGTGAGCTTACACACTTGATAGTGTACTTTTTTATGCGTGACAGAAAATCCAGCATTAAGATCTTCGTACTTACGCATATTACAATAAAATCCATCATTGTTTTTTGCTCTTAGAAAAGTCACTGTTGACTTACCATCTAAAATTTTACGATACTAATTATAATAATTATAATATTGTTAAGGTTAAATTTAAATTTAAACACGAACTGAAACTTCAAATTGAAATATTGTTCATATTAAATTTATTAAAAATCAAAATTAGTATTTTTTAGCTTCGTTGAGATGCTGAGAAGGTATTCGTTTTACCATAATGTGCGTTTTTTTATGCCTGTCTATGAAAATTCTCAGCTTTCAATGGACCAATATTTTGACGATTGAAACTTGATTTTCATCTAGTCAAACTTATCTTCGCCAAAAATAGGAAAAACCCTATCAATTTTAGAAATTTAGAAAAATATCTCAGAATATATTTAAAAATGATGTTTTTCAATTTGTTTTTATTTTGCATTTAAAGATTGCTATAATTTTTAAAAATAATAATCATATTGAAATTTTAATACAATATCTCTTTTATATTGTATTAAAATTCAAATGAGCTTTCTTTTAATACATGAAAAAAATAATTTTTGCATTGTAAACGGTTAAAAATCATATTGTTGGATTGACCATATTATAGTAAAACCAACCATCTTGTTGATAATTCTAATGAGTACGTTTAGTTAAAATAAATGAATTAATTAGGTTGGGAATTATGGTAGTATTTAGTGACGAGTTCGGTTAAAGCAACCAATATAGTACATATAGTTATAATACATATACAGTGGTATAATAATAATGAATCGATAATTCAATTTTAAAACAAAAAAAAAGCTCGTAAAACGGTGATAAATAAACAGGTTGGATTAAATTTTTTATATCTTAGAAATATCTTTGGGCGGAGTCTGGTGAAAATTTCAAACCTTAAATGGTAAAACGCTGGCGAGCGTTTTTCTCGAAAAACGGTTTCAACAAAACATTTTTTTGAATATTAATTTTAAAATTACAGATATATAAATTGTTGTGAAATTTAACGAAATCGGATTGAAGAGCTTCGTATTATAGTAATGTAAATCGCTGTCAGATATCATCTATACTTGTCCCAACTACGCTGCTTTCTCACTTTGCCACAATCCTACCGTGCAGAGAACGCACAGTGCGGGTTTTTAAAGTAAAAATTTTATTTATAATAATAAAAAAGTCATATACACGACAAAGGTATTTATTAATTTAATAACAAGATTTAAATATCAAAGTAATATTTTAAAAAGCTTTACCTCTTCCAGAAACCATAGATGGATTCGTCAACACAGAAGTCATGTAACTAATAAATGAAATTCGGTCTTTGGGATGGATAAAATCAATAAACGATCGACCCTGCCACATATCTTTTGGATACCCCATATTTTTTATTATGCTATTAGATGTGTTTATAATTAAGCCATTTGTCATCGATATGACTACACCAAAAGAACCATCGACAGTTTCGTTGGATTCAATGATTTCTTTTAGTTGTGTTTCGTGGTCATTGAGTTCTTTTAATGTTGATTCTAAACGTTTCATTAAAAATAAAATATTTTACATTTACAAAGGTTATACAATTTTTCATATCAAAGTACATACCATTTGAGTATATGTTGATAGATTTGGTTTTTAAGTATTCACGAAACGATTGACACAAAGAAGCTAATTGTAACAATGCTCCTTTATTTCTATCATAGTCATCAATAGGTTCGTTTTTGTCATGGTTTAAATCTGATTCTAATATTTGGTCGGTAGATTGTTGTTTTAATTCTATATTAAAACATAATATTTGTTTTTAAATTTTTAGCATACTCGTAAAATTAATTATAGTTTGAATAATATTTACTATCTATTTCAAATAATTCTCCTATCTGTTGTTCATAATTGTTTAATGTCATTTGCTCAGGTTCCAAATCAACATTGTTTGTTTCTTCTTGATTGGCCGTCGTTTGTGAATCATCGGACGAATCTTTTAAGACTGCTGGTTCCGGTTCGTCCGGAGACTTAGAGTTTGATGTTGAACTTTTACTAAATATAATTTAAACATGATGTTTAAAAAAATTTAAACTCTAGTTTATGATTAGACTCAAAGTATTGATAGAATACCATCAATCTAAACGAATATAAAAATTAATTATAGTAAATAGTAATTAGTATACTGATTAACCTTAGCCAACCTTCTTTAATATAGATCTCTCTCTTAAATTCTTGAAATGTAATAATTAATTGCCATAATAATATTGGATTATTAATTTAATAATATATTGAATAAAAATACTTTAAAGGCAAATAACACAAAAATAATAAATAATTTAAATTTAGTAATTACCCATCTTCATTTGATTTTAAAGTTGGAGAATTTCTATCTTCAAAACAACTGTCTCTACTTGACGCACTTTGACTATGACGCGATTTACAACTATTACTATAAATTATAATAAAATATGAATAAAATGAAATAAATAAAATACATAAGTAATATAACTAAGAAATTAGTAATACTTTAACAATGACCTATACCTGCTCTTTGATAAGTTTGACGTACATGAGTAACCGGAGTCATCTCCGGATTGTTCTTGCTTATCTTTGGATGCATTACTTTCTTCCATTCTAACCTAATCTAAATAAATAATTATGATACAATTATTGATGATGCGACAATTTAGTATCAGATAATTCTACTCTAAATATAATTTATTAAAGGATTAGGTCATTTATAGAATAAATAAAATGAAACTAAAATTATAATGCAATTTACAGGGCGTCAAGTAAATATTTGGACATCGTCTACAAAAAGTAATGTTTAATAGACTCCAAAGTATGATCAACTCCGCTAGAACAATGTTTGAATGACTTATTAAAACATACTTAAAGGTTTGTAAAACGATGACAATTTAAAAGAAAAATTATTTTTTCTAGACAATGTCCGAATATTTATTCGGACAGAATCTTACTGTAGATATATTCTATGTTAAAAATTTAACACAATTTAAAATAAATTTTACGATTTCATTCTATCAATTGACTAACCTACAATTATATACTGGATTATCTTAAATAAAAATTAACACTTCAATATAAATTTATGATAATTCTATTTTTAATAAATTCTACTGAAAAATCATCTATCTTACATTACAATCTTTTCGTTCTCAGGCGACGGTAAGAAAAGTTAGTTATATTTAGTATAATGCAATAAGTGATGAAACAAATGAAAATTTCCAAGAGAAATTTCTCGTTAACGAGAATATTCTTGAGAATATCCACTTGTTGATTATTACGGGAGAAGAAATTAAAAAAAAATTGTCGTAGATCCACACTTATTTTGTATTTACAATAAAAGACGCTATTATTTTAAAATTAATATTTCAATGATTCTGAGGATTACAAGGGGGGAATATACATAAAAAAAATGTTTAATACTCCCTTTAAATTGAACATTTTATACCATGAAGATCCAGCATTCCTGTGATAGGCACATTAATTCAAAAAACTACCTTGTACGACATTTAAGTACCTATCTAAATAAGGAACTCCTTGATCATAGGTGTAAATAGAATAAAATATTAAAAAACAAAATAATACCATTTATCCTAGTTTTGTTTTATTTGCTAATATAATATTTAAATATCTTAAATAATAAAATATGTGTCCAATAATAAAGCATGTGATATTCTAAGTGGACAATTTAAAAAGAAAATATTATTTTTGAAGCTTTCATTATGTAACAACTAATGTTACGTGGATATTCCGATATTTTCAGTTGTTATTCCTTTTGCTAGTCTTATTTAATCAAAATTGTTTAAAATTATGTCATACTTTAAAGTAAAAAAATATATACTATATTATTTAAGTATAAGCATTTTAGGGTAACTTAAAAGTGATAATAAAATTGTCCAGCACGTTTCCGTACCAAACATTCAACAATTTAGACATTTTATAACAAATGTATTATATATTGTGGTATCGCGTTATTTAACAAAAGAATCAATAAATTGTAAGTCTTTAACAAATATATACGACTGCTAACTAAAAATATCGGTATTCATTTATAAATATCCACCGACATTTTACTTGAAAACTTTTTAATCATATAAATTATGCAATAAGAATGATTTTAGTTTTATTAATTTGAAACTATTTTTACATATTGTTATAAATAATAAATTAAGTGAACATTGAATGATAAGTCTTAATATTAAATAGGTACTTGGAGTGTTGGAACATTAACTGGTTGAAGTAGAGAATTAGTAGAAGTATTGAAGAGGAGAAACGTGAATATTTGTTGTGTGCAAGAAACTAAGCGGAAAGGAAAGAAAGAAAGGAATATATGTGAGGGTTATAAAATAATATATTCAAGTAAGTGTAATATAAAGAATGGTGTAGGGTAATAATGGATGTGGAGATGAAAAGTAAAGTAGTAGAAGTAGCTAGGAAATGTGACAGAATTATATACGTAAAATTAATTTTTGAGGAAAAATTGTTAAATGTAATATGAGCCTATGCACCACAAGTAGAATGTGATAAAAAAGACAAGGAAATGTTTTGGAGAGACATGGATGAGGTGATATAAAGATTACCTGGTAATGGAGACGAGGTAATAGATGGAGATATGAATGGTAATGAGAGGAGGGGATTTGAAAGAATACATGGAGGGTATGCTTTTTGAAGAAAGAATGAGGCTGGAGAAAGAATCCTGGATTTCGCAGTATCATATGATCTTGCTGTGGTAAATACTTATTTTAGAAAGAGGGAAGAACATTATATAACTTACAAGAGTGGAAGTAATAAATCACAAATTGATTATTTTATGTGGAAGAAAGAGAGCGTAAAGCGAGTAAAAGATTGTAAAGTTATCTCAGGCGAAAGTGTAACTTCTTAACATAGACTGATGGTAAAGAAGTTGTGTAAAGAATAATTAAAAGAAGATAGTTGGTAAGAGTAGGAGTTGAATGACAACAAGGAAACTTGGTGATAAGATGAGGACGTTTAGAAAATCATAGAGTAAGAAAAAGTAGTNATAATTAAAAGAAGATAGTTGGTAAGAGTAGGAGTTGAATGACAACAAGGAAACTTGGTGATAAGATGAGGACGTTTAGAAAATCATAGAGTAAGAAAAAGTAGTTCAAAGTATAGCAAAAGAGCAAAAGGAGAGAAGATTGGATAAAGTATAAACGTTTGTACAAAGAAGTCAAGTGTGTAGCAAGTAAGGCGAAGTTTAAGAGATATTAATAGTTGTACGGTAGACTAGGAACAAAAATAAGAGAAAAAAGATTTAAAGACTATCACTAAGTAAGGTGTATAAAAAGTGATGATAAGAGGGTGCTATCGAGTGATGATGTGAAAAAAAGATGGAAAGAGTATTTTGAAAAATTACTGAATGAGGAGTATCCAAAAGAGGCATTAGAGGATATATCGTGGAACAAGTGACTGGTAGAATTAATTTGTGAGAAAGAGGTATAGGAGCCTGAGGCATCAATGAAAAACAATAAAGCAGTATAAACCCAGATAAAGTGCTAGAAGAAATATGGAAAGTATTAGGCAGTGTTGACCTAAGGCGGTTGAAGGATCTTTTTAATAAAATCTTATTAGAAGGGAAAATTCCAAATGAATGGTGGAATAGTGTTGTGATGTCGATATTTAACGGCGAAGGAGATATACAGGAGTATGAAAATTATAGAGACATAAAGCTTATGAGTCATAGTATGAAAATTTTGGGAAAATGTAATAGATAAAAGAATAAGAAATGAGACATCGGTATCTAAAAATCAGTTTGGATTTATGTCTGGTAAGTTAACAATGAAGCCATTATTTTATGTGAGGCAACTAATATAAAAGTTTAGGAAAGAGATGAAAAAGCTGTGTATGGCATTTATAGATTTGGAGAAGTGTGTGAAGAGATCCGAGAGAGGTTCTAAAGTGGGCATTAATGAGAAAAGGCGTCCAGGAAAGGTACATTAATGTAATAGAGGATATGTATGATAAGCTTGTACCAGGATAAAAAGCGTACACCCAGAGAAAAGCCTCGATCTATATAATAAATTCATTGTTCAATTTGATAAATATATCATTACTATTGAATCTATGATATATTTATCAATATGATAATTTTTTTTCTTGTCTTGAACAATAATTATTTATAAGAATAGTTATTTTGTTCGTATTAATAAAACATTATCATAAACCCTTGATAAAATTTCTCTTTCAATTTTGATTGAGGTTTTTCTTTGGGTGTAGNCATAAACCCTTGATAAAATTTCTCTATCAAAACTGATTGAGGTTTTTCTTTGGGTGTAGGAGGAGTAACAGAAGGTTAAGAGTATGAGTTCTACTTAAAGAAGCTTACTTATTTTCTATAGTTATGGATGAAATTACTAGAGAAAAACAAGGAGAGGTGCTGTGGTGCATGTTGTTCGCTGACAATATAGTGTTAATAAGAGAAAATAGGTATTGACGAAGATATAAGACACATGATTAAATGCGGGTGGTTGAAGTGGAGAAAAGCGTCTGGTGTGTTAAGCGATAATAGAATTCTAATGAGGCTGAAAGGTAAGTTCTATAAGAGTTAAGTGAGTCCAGCTATGATGTATAGTTAAGAGTTTTGGGCGGTTGACAAGAAAGTAGACCAGAGAATGAGTGTAGCAGAGGTGAGAATGCTTAGATGGATGAGTGGAGTGGCTAGAGAAGATAGGATTGTAGTAATTAGATGAGGAAGTATTGAATTACGTCGATTTTAGTATAATATAAGCCTTACAATAGTAGTAAGCAATTTTTGAACTCTTAAGCAATAAAATAATTCCATATAAAAGGGAAATGCAGGGTAAGCAAATTAATAATGGTGGGAAAAAGAATATAAAAGGGAAACATGAAAAGTATAGGGGGTCGACACGGAACGATACGGAGCGAGACGAGACTGGACGTTTTTGTAGAAGAAACGTCGAGTTACGGGTTAGGTCATTAACGTAAGAATAATTTTATACCTTTTTTTTATAAGATTTAATTAATTTTGTGTTAAATTATTATATTATATTTTATTTGACTTTTGTATTTAATACATTTCGTAAATAAAAAAACTATTTAAAAATCTGGATTTAGCGCAAATATTTAATATTCACGGTGATCTCGAAATTGTGTGTGTGTGTGTGTGTGTGTGCGGCTAGAGTCTAGGTTGGACTGCTGGTCCTTTAGTCAATCTTAATAATTAGTGTACGAGCTGGCTAGTGTTTGGGCTTAACCGTCCTTTAGTGGGTATAGTAAAAAGGTAGTTGTGCTGGTGGCTGACAAGGAGCCACCCTTCAGTCTGCTACTTTTGAGCTAGACTGTGCTGACGGGTCTAAACTCTACCCCTTTAGTAGTCCACTAATTAGAGAGATTGGGGCTGATCAGTTTATCCAACGGGAGGACTCGAGAAGAGCTCGGACGACGAACTCGTCGTCTATATATATATACATAAAACTTTAATAAACCTTTGTGTCTACGTTGGGGCACTACCGACGTACGACAGGATTAAATGATTAATTAGCTATAACTTTAAAATACATATTTAAAATTATATACTACATAAATTACATATTTAGTTATGTATAATTCATTCTAAATCTTTTGAAACAATTTATAAAA